GCAAATTTGCTTTGATTTTTGGCTGGAGTGCTCAGGTTCCTTTGCTTTGAATGCTGATTGGGTTTTGGAAAAAAATCCAGAGCTTCAGGGGTTTGGGGGGGTTACTTGTTGTTTCTCATGGTTTGAGAAGCTGAAGAATGGTGGAAACAAGATTTCTTCTGCTTTTCTGTCTGTGAATCAGCGTAAAATGGGAAGAGGAAGAAGACCTGGTTGCTGACAGTCCTTCGTGCTTTCCATGGAGGCTCTGGGCAGTGCCAGCGCTCACAGCAGAGTCATTCCTTGCAAAAAGGGGATGACTGCGGCAATTACATGGCACTTGGCGGTTTTTGGGACTCTGATAGCCAGAATGGGTTGTTATCTGAAGAACTGAAGGCCAGATGTGAGCTTGGCAGAATTTCTTTATCAAGTCCTAGTTTAGGTGGTTACTTGTTTAATTCCAAAGGTCAATGGACGTTTGCATTGCCTTCAGTGGTGGGGCAGCAAAGCTTAGATGGGGGAGTCTTAGCACTGTAGTTTGTCACATTTGAGTGGCCTTGCTTTGCCTTTGCTTAATTCTTTGGGTTTGGTGTCTGAAAATATTGAGCAAACAGGATTGTGAGGAAGAAAGTTGGTGGTCTAGGTGCAGAAAATGACCTGTTAATGAACATTAAATAACATTCATTCACTTTGTATGCCAAATATTTATAAGCTAGTTTTAAATGGGAGAATGCAGGATGATTAAAATCAGCAAGAATGGTTTATCCAGCTGCTTGAGATGCTGCAGGTACATCCTGGGTGAATTGCAGCTGCCTCCGAGCAGTACTCGGAATTATTTTGGACATGCTTCTATAGCTCATCCTTACTGTGATGCATCGAGTGAATTGAGTTGACTTGAGAGAGGGAAGGAGTGGATTTCTGAGTGTGGGAAGGGGTGGGTGAAAGTCTAAACATTGTGTTATATTTCAAGCTTAGTGTTTTGGTCTGATATTTGATCCAAACCCTAGCAGCAGCCTCCAGTCACATGGAGAGCCCGGGAAGCTTTTTTAGGGTACTGTGTTACACTTCAAGCTGTGTTTGTGTTTTCACTTAGCTGAAAGGTGCCTTCATAAACATTTTGGTTTGGCCTTGAACGCAAGATTCCTTAAGCTACTTGAAAAATACTGTCTGCGTGTTTGTTTGTTTACTTCTGCTACAAGTTGGATTCAGCCTTTGGCTCTTGTAATACCCAGAGGATACTGAGCATCTCACTTGTAAGGATGCTTTTGGAGGTGGGAAACCAGATTTGTCCTGTACAAAACCCCTTAGATTTAGAGAAGTCCTTAACCTACAAGATGCATTTTTTTAGAGTGATTGCAGCGTGGAAAAGCTGTTCCATTTTAAGAGTGGAGAGTTACTCTGTCCTACTGACTGTGTAAGGGGGGGCTTGAAAGGAGCCACTGCATTTTGAACATAGTTCTTGTTTGAGAGCTGCTTCGGATCCTGGAGTTATGCCCGTGTAGCTGAGTTTTCCCAGGGCGCTGCGTGAATGCTAAGCTGTGTTGTAATGAATTCGAGTGGGCAGCAGCATAAGCCTGCTCTCATTTTCCCTGGAAGACGCTGCTGCATTGTCTTGTCTGTATCCTGAAAGCCTCAGTGTTGTTTGTCAAAGGCTTGATTCTGCAAGTGCCACGTATGCAAAGAAGCCCGTGAATAGGAGGGACTTGCTGTGCTGGTTCTCAGCTCCTCACATAATGCCCAGAGCTGGGATAACCGGCAACAGGCTGAAGCAAAGCAGTTTTTGTTAAACTCTTGGTATTCTGTGGGCATCTGCTCTCACACACGTGAGATGTTTAAAATTGTCTAGTTATGTTCTGATAATGCCTAGGAGTTGCTTTCTGCCAGGCATATACATATGCTTAGATAGGTCCGTGTTTTTGCACCATAAATAGAGGGAATGGGCTAAGGTTGGACTTGATGGTCTTAGAGGTCTTTTCCAAACTTAATGATTTGATTTGATTTGAAGGTTGGCAGAAGTGATTTACTTATGGCTACGTGTGTGCTGGTGGCAGGTTTGGAAGCTGTCTGCATCTCCCAACTCACAGACTAGTATTTTGGCCCTGAACCACCTTGTTTGCAGAGTGTGTATAGGTGGTGCTCTCTCTTTCTCTTGTCCCCCATGCACGTGGCGGAAGGCAAGTCATGTAACTGTGTACAAAAACTGCGATATGGATGTTGGGCCTTAGTATTGCACACTGGCATTAGCACCTGGTATAGGTGTTTATGCAGTTAGCAGATCAAAAATCTATGCTGATAGCGTCAGGCATGATGGTAGTCATCAGGCTTGGGTAATCATGAGCTATCACCTGCTTAACCAAGGTGGGCAAGGGATGGTAGACTTGGAAAAGGTCAGCTTGCTCCCGCGGGGTGGGTTTGGGAAGGAAGAGTTGCTGCCAAGGGGCTTGAAGTACCGCAGGGCTGAATCTCCTCCCTCTGGTTCTAAAAGGAAGGGGTCTTTTGACAAGGGAGGGGGGCAAAAACTATCTTCTGCATCAGCAGCTAGTGACTCTGTAAGCACTTGTGGGTCCCAGGCAGCCCTTCCTGCTTCTCAGGCAGACTGCCTGTTTGCAGGGATTCCTCAGATGTTTATTTCCAAGGGTGTGCCCCGGGTCAGCAGACAGGAAGGAGTCTTGGGCCCAGGCGTACCTTATCTCTTCTATTTCTAGGAAATGATGTAAGGTACTTCCTTGTACAAACTTTTCTGTAAACGCATCCTGAATTTTGCTGACGGGTGGTTTACTGACTGTTTACCCTTTGAGGTCAGCTCCTCTGGAGCTGCGGGAGCTGACCCTGTTCTGTGCTATGCCTCATTTATTTTGGGGAAAATGTGCTGCTTGCTGATCTAAGCCTCTCTGAGTGCACCGGTTTAGAGCCGAGTGCCTTAAAGCGAAAGGTGAGAAGGTTTTACTGAAGTGATTTCAGTGAGATCAGTGCAGGACTGATGTTATGGACAGCACACAGCCATGCAGCGGTAGCCGAGCTGAGCCGACCTCTTCCTGGCAATCTAAATTGCAGTTCAGGAGCTGCCTGACGCGTGCCTGAGTCACAGCAGATGTCTGCTTTCCTTAATGCACCCGGCTGCGAAACCGCCACAGTTTGGGAGGTGATTCATGGTCTCTACCTCCACTGTAAACAGTATTTTGCATAGGACTTATGATTTGTCCTTGTGTTGTGATTAAGCAGCCTTGGTAACAGGTGCAACAACTGAAGCAAGTACACCCGAAGAAATTTTTATCTGAAGAGGTACAGCAGCACTGAAAGTGTATGTGCTAGGGGGAATTATAATGGTTCCACATATGTGTTTTAGTTTCTCAGTACAGGGCAATGCAGAAAATGAAACACCATCAGTTCTCTCGGGCAGCATGGAGACCTGATTCATGGCAAACTTGCTTCTACAATAAAGCTGTAAAGCTAAATAAACACAGTGCAAGAGTTGGGGTGGTTTTGAGGTGCTTAGCACCCTCTGTACAAATGTGATCTCGTGCCCTTGGATTGTGGCAGCTGCTGTCTCAGCTGAAGAACAAATGTGCCAGCTCTGCCTCACTTTATTTCTGAGCTAAATGCCAGTCTCTGAAATGAGCCTGTCTGCCCTCTGATGAAAGCATGGGATTGTTTTGTCCCACTTTTAGGTTTCTAAAATGTGGGTCACTGAGATGCAGGACATATTAGTGTGACAATTTTAGGCCTGAAGGGACAGTGTTGGCTATTGATGGCTGTTAGAGTGTGAAAGTCAGGACTTCTAGGTCAGCTATCGCTGATTGATGAGCTTGATGCAAGCGTTGTTTAAAGCCTCTGCCTTACAGAGATAAGAGCTTGGTTTCACCTTATTCTTTTCTGGGTATTAATAACAGAATTTGAGTCTTGGCTTTTGGGGAGGAAAAAAAAGATGCCTACCCATAGAAGAGTTGTGGGATTGCTTGGGGAGAGCTCAGAAATGGTACATGGTGTGGTGCATCTCCTGGCTGCAGTCGGGAACTGTGCTTATCTGAACATTTCTCTTGGTCCTGCTGTGTATGGCAGGACTATGACCACCACTTCATCATCTTCTTCAGCTTCTGAGTCCTGGTGTGTGTTGAAGCCTCAGATGTCTTGTGTCCCACTGGACTGTGTATTGCTCCGTTCCTGAGCGGCAGTATAAAAAGTACACATTGGGTTGCATTTCTTACACCAGCTAATAGCCGAGCAGCAATGCAAATGGCATCCAGTGGTCCAAGCAGCTGAAGAAAGGAGGTCCTCATCCAGAGAGTGTGGTCCACCTGCCTTGGTGTGGGAAATTGGTCCTCTGAACAGTTCCAGGGTGGAAGCACTGTTGTATGACATGACATGACCATGTAATTTTATGAGAGAGGCTGGTCTTTCTTGTCTGTTTGAGAGGACAGAGGGAGCAAAACTATGTGGATAACTTCTGTTACCTGCATGCTTTTTACACAAAAGCAGGAATTAGCTAGGACTCAACATAGGAAGAGTAAATTGAATTTTAATCTCCATAGCACAGCGTGTTAGCGGTTGACCTCAGAGTGTTTGTCCTCATTCATTACATGCCTTTGCAGCTCAAATAGGAGTTGTAGTGTGCATTGCTATGTTGGCAACAGGAGGCAAAAATCTCTTTAAGAACATTTTATGAACGAAAGTGGAAACTGTGATAGCTGTAAATTTTAATATCCTTACCAGCTGTGGTCCTAAGTGGGCTTGTGGCATTAACTACTGTTTCAGTGGTAGGTACAAAATACAGCCAAAATTTCTGGTCTCATTTCAGGCTGCAGCATGAGCGTTTCCAGAAGCTGGATAAAATTACATTGCTTGTTGCAGCAGGTCTCTGTGCTGAATGATGCTTGTTAGGGATCGTTAACATCCCGCTTGTGGGTGCCAAATCTGGATGCTGCTGTTAGAAAGGCCGTGGTGATGAAGCCCAGTACTTAGCAGCAGTTTTGGGGATGATCTGCCTGTCTATTTATCCTGAGTGTATTCTTATGTTTGTATCCTGCAGGTTGTATTGATCATGGACACTGAAGAAATCCCGACTTTTTCGAGTCTAAAGGAGGAAACTGCATATTGGAAAGAGCTTTCCTTGAAGTACAAACAAAGGTACTGTTGTAGATTTACAGGCTGGTTTTGGTTCTTAATGACTGGAACATTGTTTAATCTATTTCTCTGCAAGGCTGCACCAAGATAGTATTAGATATTTTAGAAAGAATCTCTGCATTTCCAGCTTTAAATCCAGCTTTAAAATTTCCAGCCTTGTGGGAGCTGACTGTTTCTTGCACAGTGTTACCATGCTGTGAACTCCAGGCTATGTTTCAAGCATGTTTGAGCAAGAGCAGAGCCCTTTTGCGATGATGTGCATCTCTTTATAATTAAACTGCTGCCTTAAGTAGTATCTTGATGTTTTATCATAAGAAGGTGCCTTTGGGCTTGCCTTGTATCATTACTGTTCCCTCAAGCTTCTTGTAGTTGAATTACTGGTATGAAATGTGGCTGATTTGGTGTCTGCTGCAATTTATTGAAGTTTGTTGTAGCTCACAGTCCAGCCTGTACTGGCATGGACTGGTTTGCATCTTTTAGGGGGCACAGGGCTTTTTGGTTACCAAAAATGACAAGAGAGGTTGTTGTCTTGAGTAATGCTGTGCTTCTTGTGGGGGGTGGGGTTTGGGATTTTTCTGGAGTGGGGGGCGTTGGAGGCTCCCAGTTTATTTTCTTTGGAAAGCTTTCCTTGCATTCAGTATTACTTGTGCAATTGAGATGAAGCCAGTTAAAGCTCTCTCAAGACCAGAGAGTCCAAGGTGCAAGCTGTTGTTTTGTTTGGTTTTGGTGGTTTTTTTTAGGGCGGGGGTGGGCATGTGGAGGGTCCTGTCCACATGGAGAAACCTAAGCTGGTTTGGGGTGTCAGAAAATTCTCTCTTGGACACCAGTGGATATTTTGTTTCCTAAAACCTTTTTAGTTTTCTCTGCTGCTTGCTAAAAGCTGAGCTATTGCATATGGTAAAGATGCAAATTTAATAAGCAAAGTATGTGGAGTGGCTACTTTTAGTGTTTAATAACTTGCAGTAGTATAAGGTAGGTATGTGCTGGCTTCCTGCCACAGCGTTCAATACCCTAAGACTCAAACCTTCCCGCTTTTCAAGAACCTTAAATTTCCAGGTATTGCAGAGATCCAGAAACTATTGTTCTCTCTTCCAGTTTTTGGCCAAAACCTGGTTAAATGTTTGTTTAATTCATTGACTCTATCCTACTAGCAGTGAAATCTAATGGAGTACAAAGTGGTTGTCAGGCTCCCATGAATCCTGCAAATAGCTTTGATACAAGTTTGTATTCACACATGCATTTAATGTAGCTGTTTGTTTGATGTAAGAGGATTAATTTCCTTTTATAGCTAAGCTTAATGATGTAATTCCTCTATTTCCCCATTTTTTATTTTCCCCTTAGAGGTCTATGGATGACACTTAAGTACTTCAAAACTCTTGTTTTTTCAGCTTATTATTTTAAAAGAGCTGTGGATTTTGTTTTAACTTGGGAGATACTGGATTTTCAACTGATTAAATCCTTTCCTCACAGCTTCCAGGAAGCTCGTGAAGAGCTGGCTGAATTTCAGGAGGGAAGCAGAGAATTAGAAGCTGAGTTGGAGGCACAGCTAGTGCAAGCTGAGCAAAGGAATAGAGATTTGCAAGCAGATAACCAAAGACTGAAGTATGAAGTGGAAACGTTAAAGGTAGGTCTTTTCTGTAACAGCATTGCCTCTTCTTACAGATATGTCTTGGATCTCATTTTAGATTGTCTGATCTGTTCTTGGCCACTGAATATCCAAATGAAGTAAAGAAGTTGTCTGTTTAAGATTCAGACTTGGGTATGGCATGTACTCCTAATAAGGCCAGCAACTTACCAGGGAAATTTCTGGCAGAATTTTTCTTGTTCACATTATGAAACTTTTCATGGAGTCTGTGCTCATTTGTTTGAATTCTTTAGGCTTTGCCAAGTAGTAGCTTTATTCGTTACACTGGCAACATCATAGCAACAGGGCACACAACACAAGTATGTTTTGTCAGACCACTGTTTTATCATCTTTCTTAGCATACTAGGTTTTTTTGCCCAGAAGGTCTCCTTGGTTTTATGAGACCTTAAAGAAAGGTGAAGATGGGTGATTTGCGCACATCTTTCAGAGAAAATCTCTTGATTCTTTCTTAACAGCCCTATTTGTGGAGACAGGAATTGCATAAGGATCTGCATATGCAGAAGGTGACTTTTAATTGATCCCTCTGTGTTAACAATTTCTTGCCTCTTTTGGAGGTTGGGTTGGTTTAGTGAAGGCAAAGGTTGGAAATTTACCCGGTGGAAATAAAGTTTATGGCATTACTTGTATGCGCATCCAGTCCCAGCTAAATCTATAAGGTCAGTACGTGTTTTATAACGTCAGTATTTCTTCTATAAGCCCCTACCCATACCCTCAGAGCTGGTGAGAGCATGTTTGGGAATGAATTCTTCCAGGCTTTTGAAGATGAGCTTGTGGACCTGGAGGTTTTGTAACAGATTTCAGTGGCTCTCATTTTTGCTAATGGCAATGTCAGATAAGTTCTGGAAACAGTGTGACTATTGTCAAGGGAGAGGCACTGAAAGGGAGGCTGTGCAGTTAGGTTTCTTTCTGGCTTCCTAGATGTTTGAGGCTTCAGAGCAGCTGTCAGTGCAGGCTGTTGGGAACAGATTCAGGGATGCATCTCTGATCAGCCAGCTGTGTCGTGGTGAGATGTCTGCGTACAATGCAGCATCTGTGATTTTATACTGTGTCCAGTTCTGATGTTCAGAGCATGTTCCTTCTAACTCTCCAGTTTTTCTCTGTATTACCAGCAATCCCACATCAGCAGACTGCAGGGAGTATGTTACTTTCTTTGTCCCATTTTACTGCTGCTGGTTTGGATAGTGTATGTGACTGATACTTATCTGCTACTTCTTTCTTTCAGGAGAAACTGGAGCACCAGTATGCACAAAGTTACAAGCAAGTGTCGTTGTTAGAGGATGACCTGAGCCAGACACGGGCCATTAAAGATCAGCTGCATAAGTATGTGAGGGAGCTGGAGCAGGCCAATGATGACTTGGAACGTGCAAAGAGGTGAAGGCTGCAAACCTCTTCTTTCCTTAAAGTCTTCACTAGATCTTTTCTTTGCTACTCAGATTGATCATTTTAATGCTCCTTAAAAGGGAAAATAACACACACTCAAAAAAACCCCAAAGAAACCCCAAGACATTTGATTCTTTGAACCGTGCAGTTTACCCTTGGAGTTCACCTCCATGAGCTGGTAGCATTATGTTACAGCAGGAGAGGCAGGGGGAGGAAAGTGCTTCATGTTCTTGTGAGAAACAAGCAGTGCAAGCAGGCTTAGAGCAAGCCAGGCCAGTGCACTGCTTTTGATACTTCCACCTAGGTGACTCTTATAATATATTTGTGATCCTTGTAGCTCAAAGCCCCTTTGAAGTAAGAAGCTAATGCTTTACATAGTCCCTGTTAAATAAAGCAGGCCAAAGGAGTCTCCTCTTCCCTTGCATAACAGCTTAATGACTGTAGGGAACAACTGTGTCCTGTATAAGTGCATAATGTGAACAAGCTGCTGTTAGAAACACCCAGTTTGGGAGTAGGTCATGCTTCCGTTTTGCTGAATGGGATTTTTGTCATTGATTCAGTGGGACCAGGAATGAGCCTCTGGCTATCTGGCAAAAAGATCTGAGAGCTGAGGCCCTGTTTCCCCAAGGCTCTTAACCTCATGACTAACTTTTGACACACATGAGTTATCCCACTGAAATCATGGAACAAATTGGGTCTTAGGTAATATCCCAGTGCCCTGCTTTCTGCATTTGCTGGGCTGTTGCCTGTCCAGAGCTCTGGAGAGTACAGCGCCACCTGAGCTAATGCACTGATGAAATGTATGGCTTTGGAGCATGACTTGGGAAAAATGGAGATGGGTGCGCTGGACTGGCTCTTTCCCAGCTCTTTGGTACATCTCTGAGAGCCGGATGCTATCATGTTCTTTTCATCTTATTCTCCTGCTTTGGAGTTTATTAGTCCTTTCTAAGAAGCATTTCCATAGCTTTCAAATGACTAACTTGAATGTAGGCCCTGCTAACATTTTTCTTCTATTATGTTTTTGAATACTCTTTTATGTTGTCTGAGCTGAAGAACCTAATATTCTGGATTTTGTTTCTAGGGCAACAATAGTTTCATTGGAAGACTTTGAACAAAGGCTGAACCAAGCTATTGAGAGAAATGCATTTTTAGAAAGTGAACTGGATGACAAGGAATCGTTGCTAGTTTCTGTACAGAGATTAAAGGATGAAGCAAGAGGTATGGCTTGCTTGATTAGTTCTGTGTCTTGGTACATTGTTGGCTTGCTAAGAGAGACATGTAGCAACCAAAGCTCATGTTTATAGAAAGCCTCACATAATGAGACTTGAACTGGATGTGTAATGTAAGCGTTAGGTATTACTAACAGTATGTTCTCTATTCTTTGTACGTCCAATGTAGCTAGGAGAAAAAATTTCCTCATGTAGGGCAAAATTAATACCAGATTCATTCAGGATTTTTAACACAGGTAAGTACAAAAATACTATGTTCTACAGATATAATAGAACTGAGGAAGTGTGCTTCAAAAGTTCCCACTCGCTGTGGTTTTATGCCTTGTATAGGAAGGGAAAGCACAGGAGATGACAGGGAAATACATGATAAATGGTTAAATAACTTTCTTTAAAAATCCTGTCTCCTGTGTTCCTTCTAAACCTCTTGGAAATTGCCTGGTTTATTTAAGATATTCCAGTAAAGACTGTGGTTAGACCTGTGGGATCAGAGTTGTTTGGGATAGTGTTCTGGGATATGATCAGGAGTTGGGAATTCCCCTGTAGGATCTCACACTGAGGGTGCTGGGGAAGCTTTTTTTTTAATGGTTGGTGGAAACTGATTTCTCTTAATAGTGGGGATGATCTGCGCATAAGCCTGTGCCTGCCATTAATGCAGTTTAGAGATCAGTGGTTTTTAACTTTGTTTCCCTAGTGAAGCTTTCTAAAATAATTCCTCAGTTAAGGCCTAGACCTCAGTGTAAGACAACATACTTGACAACAGGCTGTGATTTTTTGTTGTTGTTCTCCGTTGTGAACCTCTTTGAAGCAAGCTTGTGCCCCACAAATTGAAAGCCTCTATTGGAAGCACAGGGTTTTTATAATAAGTATGAAAAAGGTGATTAAGTATTTTCTGAGGAAAGGTATGTATTGTAATTTGGAGTTAGGGCAGTAGTACTGGAAAAAACAGCAAAACCTAGGGGACTGTTTTCTAGAACACTGGAATAATCGACAAAAAAGACATCTTGTTTCTTGGATGAGTCACCTGGAAATTTTTAGCATTTGTTAGGGTAGCAAAGCTGCATGTTATTTCTCCTGACAGCAAGCAGGAACACTAGCCACTAAAAACTGATATGGTGTCAAACTGAAATACAACATTTCTGATTGAACAGCCATAAATCCTTTTCTAGGAGTCCAAATAGACTTGCATTTCAGCTGTGCTGTTTTACTTAAAATCAGTTCTAAATATTTATGATAACTTTAAAAGCTGTAATGTACAACTAATTTTGCCCTTGCACGTTGTACCAAATTGAGGCAAGGAATAAGAGGTCTGTGAAAGATTAAGTTGCTCTACCCAAAAAGGAACAACTGCCTTGTAACATATTGTTTATTTGCATCTAGTCCCTTCTAAGGATTTTGTAGATTCATTGCTGAGCTGTGCTGGATGCTCTTTGTAGCAAATATGTGTGAAAATGGGAGGGGACAAGATAAGGGCAAGCAGCAGTCTGGAGAGGAGGTGAGAATAAAACATGGGTTTCCTAATCTCCGATCTCTTTCCCTGTCATTTGGACTACTCGGCCTCTCCAGTCTGCTCTTTTACTTGTCGAGGCATCGAGAAACTGGATACAACCCTTTGACTGCCTTTGGCTAGTGTGGAGTCCTGTGGATTATTAAGTGGAATAATAACGTGGGGAATTGGAAACACGAGAATAGGTCATTCCTCCTTTTTTCCAACCTCTGTTTGAGCAGGAGCTGAATGTAGTTCAGCAGTCATTTGTGACCAGCTACAGTTTTTGTAACAGACTTTCCATGGGACTCGCACTACAGATGGGGAAAACACTGAGGCTAAGTCACCTGTCATGCTCGCTGGGACCATGCAGCTCTCTGGTCTGGGGAGGGCTCTGTTTGCTGCCTCTCTACTCCCAGCTGTAATGGGAAGTGATGGTATTGGGCTGTGACTGCTCTGAGGTGGGGGTCCTCGCTGCTGGAGAAAGCCAGCAGCAGGCAATTAATATAGGGTTGTTGCAAAGTGTCTCCTCCTCCTCCCTCCCAAATGAATAGAAAGGGTATTTGTTATAGAAATCAGTCACTAATCTGTATTTTGGGGGTTTGGGTTTTTTTCTTCTCTCAACTCTTAGATTTACGGCAAGAGCTAGCAGTACGGGAAAGACAACAAGAAGTCACTCGAAAGTCAGCACCCAGTTCTCCGACTCTAGACTGTGAAAAGATGGATTCGGCTGTCCAGGCGTCTCTCTCCTTGCCAGCTACGCCCGTTGGAAAAGGATCAGAAAACAGTTTTCCTTCCCCAAAAGGTATAATTCATAGAAACTGTGTCTAGTTGTTTGGCAGTATGTTCAGCTTGGTAACAATTTCAGACCAGTTGCTTGTTAGTGAATTTGAAGTAAATGTAGGTACGTGTGGATCCCACATGCATTGCATAAGGTGTGTTTAAATCCTGGGGTAGCATCGGGTGCATTTAAGGAGTACAATGAGTAAATAGCGTGGAAAAGGACAGTGAAGCTTAGATACTGCTTGGGGGGCGGGGAGAGGTGGGTGTTTGCACTCTGCAGTAGATGCCTGCAGTAGAGCATTTAGGATTGCAGGGAAATGCAGTGACTGATATTTCTGCTTAAATGTGGAGTAGCAGTGGTGGGTAAACAGGGGTCAGTAATTTGACAGTCTAGATTCTCTGTTACCACACATACTTTTCAGGGGTCCTGTTTTCTCTGTAAGGCAGCAGGATGTTAGTCCACTCCCCTTCCCCATCTGGAAGGCTCTGGACAGTTACAAGGATTAATACATTATTTTTCAAATTAGAAAGAGTAGATTCCAGAGAAACCTCTGGCTGGATTAGATGGATTGCAGGCAATAACCTTGCAGATGGAGAGTGCGTGAACTCTGCATGTAGGTCTAATGGGAAAGAGGGCAGTGGACAGGAATTAAGCTTTTAATTTTTCCATGGCTAGTGATCATGTAGTCTGTGAGTTATTGTGGGGTAATTGTACAAAGAGTCTGCAGTAAGATTTTAGATTTACCTTTTTATGTAGAAGTTGATTTATTTAAATTAAAAAAAAAACCAAACCCAACTGTGGAGGAGTGGAGCATATAATAAAATGTGTCTGTGTTTGCAGCTATACCAAATGGATTTGGTACCAGCCCCCTTACTCCTTCAGCTAGAATATCTGCACTCAACATTGTGGGAGATCTGTTACGGAAAGTGGGGGTGAGTGCTCTGAACCGAAGTATTCCTAGCTCTGTGCTGCTGTCACTGAGCTTTCATCCTTGTGCTCAATTACAACAAGGCCTTGGCCTGTGCTGAATACATGCTGTAGTTTCCAAATTGTCCACATTCAGTGTTTAGTATGTGATATATATTTTTTTTAACTATCTTGATTTATAAAGCATGTTACTAAGGTTCTGATGCCAGTTTGGGGTGACAAAATTCATATTTGGAGTAAGAATTTTCTCAAGCACTTTACTATATGCGGTTAGACACCGTCAGCTACTTGTTCTTACTTTAAATGGGGCCTGCAGCTTCCTCTGTAATGAGACAAAGATGCAGAGCTGGACCTTGGAGTCTGGGTGCTTGCTGTACACGAGTGAGGAGCCGAGATCATGCTGCCAGTGTCTCCTCATGTGCCTTAGGAGATCTGCAACAGGTGCTGAAAATGGAAAAAAATCTAGAAACCTTTGATAAGAAAGTGAGAAAATAAATCAGGAGAAAGCCAAATGTTCCCATCTGTAGTTGATGGAGAAGTGAAATGTGTGAGCCTTTAAAGGGATTACCACTGTAAGTGGGGAAGAAGTGGTTTAAGCATCTGTTACAGTGTTGTTTAGGATGCCAGGCTTTCCAGCTGAACAAAGACATGACTTTTGAGTTATGAGAAGCTTGGTGACATGCCTCAGTGGTTACTGTTTTGAGTGGAAGCATGGATAGCCTTGGTGTCTAGCCTCCAGCGCTGGCTTTCCTCTCTCTCTTGTGGTTAACACTGAGAATGGCAATATCTGCAGTAGAGGCAGTTTTTACCAAAGTTTGAAATAAATTACCTCGTTGCTCGCATTTGGAGCCAGTGAGCTTGTAGTTGGTTTGAAAGGGCAGCAGGGCGACTCGGGGTTACGGAGTGACATATTTAAAATGGGATCATTGTGAGTAAGAGTCTGCAGGGGATTTAGGGAGCTTAATCACAATCCTGTGTGATTACTCTGCAAGGACAGGAAATGCCAAATAAGCATGCTTCTTTCCCAGCCTGCTCTTAGACACACGCTCTGCCACTGATACAAAATTCCAGTTCACGCATTTGTTTAGTAACAATTGTAGGATGTTCAGGATTTCTTTGGGTTTGGCTACTCACAGGATGCCTCGTCCCAGGCCTTAGACTCCCTTTCTCTGCAAGAATTTTCCCCTCAGCTTTCTTGCTTGCAGCTGAGACAGGGAGTCACTTGGCACAGACCACACTGGCTTTTTCCAGCTGATAGGTGCTTTGAAACCAAGAGATAGGTAGCTGCCTATGTAGTTACTAAGTAAGCGTACATGGATTTCTAGAAGACTGTATAGTGTTCACTTAGTTGTGATAGTATGTCAGTGCCTTATTAATAGAATATTTTTCTATCTGGAGCAGGACCAAACCCCATGTTTGGGGAGATGAGTTTTTGTCTCCAGTACATGCATTTGCAAATGTCTGAATGCCGCCGTGCACAGGATGGACATAACCAATAGTTGCAAGGACTTTCTGCTAGACCAGATGGATATTCAAGTTAAGTGTCAGTTTGTGATGGATGACAGAAAGGGCAGGTGATGTTCTGAAGTAAAGGAGAGAATCAGGATTTTGGTCTCCCTCCTGCCAGGAGTTGGTGGATGAGGCAGAGACTGTCATCTTGTATAGGGGAAAAAGATCTCACCAGGCTTGCTTGGAAGTAGTGGAGATGAGGTACAGACCACAGAGACAGGCTTAGCTGCTGCCTTTGATTCCTCTTTCTGATGCTGTGACTGTAGCACCTCTGGTTCTGAAACATATCAGTGGGGCTTAAGAAACTGGCTTTGTTTTGCAGGCCAAGATTGAGAAAGAAATGGGGAAAAAAATTCAACTTTCCAAATACACAGTCCCTCCTAAAACTTGAGGTTCTGCTTTAGATCCTGTCTTAGTCTTCTGATTAGCTTATGCCAGCCTTACTGCAGCTGCTGAAGCAAGAAGTTTGGGTTACTTCTGCTAGGAGTTGGCTTCCTTGTTTTAGGTAATTAACTGAGAGTTGATATGTCCTAAAATCTGAGCCCTAGTGGAACTGAGTCATGGCTGGCAGTCTGCTCAGCGTCTTGTTGTGTGGGTTTCCTCTGTGTTTGGGTGACAGAGAAAATGACAGCTTTGTTCCCATTTAGTTCAGTTTTTGCCAAAGGTGATCATACTGGGGTCCTGATCCTGGTGATCCTGGGGTCATGACAAAGCCTGAACTTCAGCAGCAAAATACCTTCTCTTAATGGTATTACATTTTTGACATTTTTTTTTCCCTTTCACAGGCCTTAGAATCCAAATTAGCTGCTTGCAGAAATTTTGCAAAGGACCAGGCATCACGGAAATCCTACATTTCAGGGAACGTTAACAGCGGCATGATGAATAGCAATGGCACAAAGTACCCTCATCCAGGGCATACTTCTTTCTTCGACAAAGGGTAAGTAAGGGTATATTTTTTGCCCTAAAGGGGAGTGTGTTTCAGAGTGCTACTTGGAGCAGAAGTTTTTCTTGGCTTGTCTTTAGCCCACCACAGCTTTCATCCTATAGGACAAATAATTTTGTAGAACCAAGTCTCAAGGGGATGGGGAGGGTGACAGTGCTGATTTCTGTAAACCAAAGAGAAAAGCAAGCATGATTGTCTCTTAGCTGGTAGGATGTCAGTGCCTGTTCTGTCCCTCTGCTACATAATCTCTTTGTGGCTGCATCTCAGCTAATACAAAAACCCCGGGCAGCAAACTTGCTAGTGAAGTGAACGTGCTCTTTAAAAGGATCTCAAGTAAGTAGTGGTGGAGTTGCCATAGCTACCGGTGCACTCGTGTGTGGGGAAGTACATTAACCGCAAATCTGGAGATTCCCTTGGTGAGCACAGCTGTGTGCAGGCAGCAAATGCTCACTTGGAGGGTGGTGCCCTGTTTGCTCTACTTCCCCCTCTATTAGGGGAAAAGAAAACGTCATTAACAGCGTAATTCTGGCTGATCAAGGGGGCAGCTGCCTCCATGCTGGCTGCGCTGTGCGTCAGCTATGAAGCCAGAAACTGCTTTCACAGGAAAAACTACCCCATGTCTTCCGTGATTCGCCCATGGTCAGACCTTCCTGTGGGATAATGGGAAGTGGTTCGGCAGGAGGATTTTCCCACAGACCCTCATAACACAGAGCTCCATGGTTGTATGAGGAGCACTGAGGAGTGGGGCAAACAGCACAGTGCTCCTCCAGTGCTAGCACAGTGGTACTGTGAGCTTTGCTTGGTGTCACTGGGCAAAACACCCTCCGTGCTCCCTGCACAGTAGTAGTCTTCCATGCTAAACCTCAAGCCAGTGCAATTTAATGCTAATATTCAGCACATCCTCAATCCAGAATTTATTTTAGAGAATAAAATGAGCTGTTACCAACCTGAAGAGTGCCATATACAGAGCAGCGAAGCTGAGCTTCCTACAATCATCCTCATTTGCGCTGAATCGTGTTGCTATGTGGGTAGCAGAGCAAACTGCATCTTAGAAACTGGCATTCAGAGTTTTTAGAGCCACTGTTGTTTGCTGCTTCTGGAAAGGAAGAGTTCGGAGACTTAACAAAGGCAGTGTCATGTGCAAACTGGACAGACCTTTGGATTGTCTGTATACTGTAAGGCTGACTGGGGTCTGTGCATCACCACGGCAGTGCTCACGCTTGCAGTGCACAGGCTACATTTCAGGTGCAAGCTGTCAGGGTAGTTGCTAGGGAGAGATTATAGCTGTTCTTAGGAGGCAGCATGGCTATATTGAGTTGTGGTGTGACGAATAAGCTGATTGCTATGTGGGGTGGGGGTTACTTTTAATTATCCAGATTGTCATCACACTTGTTATCTGTGCTGGCTGCCTGGAGTTAGGAGCAGGTTGTAGCTGAAAAAGGCTTAGAAACCCAGCCTCCTGAAAGATAACTTCTACAGCAGAGTTGGAGGATGTTAGTGGGCTGGAAAAGGGGGTGGAAATGACTGATGTGCTTATCTGCAAGTAGTTGGAGATCCTTGCATGGCCCTGCTGCCCTACCCTCCTCCTCTGCACCCCCATATGCTGTTCACAGCGGGGTCCGTGGCCCATGCCTCTCCCCTTACATCGACTCCTGCTCTGCCTTGCTGCCCCTGTTGAGGTCTGTGCTGTGTACATATCTCCATGGCTGCTATGTAAAACCTGTATAACTTTGTCTGCACATGTAAGCTAAACCAAGCTGTTGCCTAAATGAGGTCAGCCCCATCGTGCCTGGACACTGTAGCAGCAGCCGAGCTCCCAGCCATGCTGGCATGCTTCGCTGGCAGGCATCAGATCCAGAGTGTGCTGTGGTGGCTGGGCACGAGGGGCTGAGTCGAGGCATGCCCTTTCTTTTCCCCTCTCCTCCTCTTTCTCCAGCCCCTGTACTCTCCTCCCTGCCCCTGATTGTTGCTGGAGCCTGAAACAGCCATGTCTCATCATAGATCCTATCCAATCTGCAGCCAGTGCCTAAAGAACAGCCGTTTGTTGGGTGGTGGGATTGGGACAGAGGTAACTCAGCCACATCATTACAGTTCCATTTACTTTCCTTCCTCTGCCATTTTGTTGGTTAAAATGTTTAACAAGTCTCCATCTTCCATTAAACACCTGCTCTTTGCTTGCTGAGTGGAGCTGAGCAGGCAGCTGAGGACAGTGATAGGCAGGAGCTGGCATAGGGGAGCATTGCTTTAGGGGAGGCCTGGAGGACAGCTGGGCTTGCACCAACGCTTTGCTGGAGAATTGGAAGAGTCAGGACTTACCTACTTTTTTTAAAACGCAACCATGTCTGGTGTAAGATTAGTTTCCCACAGACTAGTTCCTTCAGGAACATGCTGATTCTGTCTAGATGCCAGAGCATGGCAGAACAGTACCTGAGGGTGTTCTCAGATAGGTACTTGTTTTTTGCTGTTGTAATTGTTCTTAATTGGTTATTAACTTCGATCCAGTTGGGGAACAAAATGGCTCTGACCTTGATGGGCTCTGCAGCGGCCTGGCACTTGAACAGCAGGAACAGCAGAGCTGAGACAGCATGTGAGCCAACGTGGGCCGTTTGTTCCTTGGGGCACTAACTCCTTGTTCACTGCTCCCTCGCTCCCCTTCCTACACTCTTGAGTGACAAAGCCCTTGTAGCTGATGTTTATTCTTAGGTTATTTTTGTGAATCTCCTGGGCTTTGTTTTAATAAAACAAGCTAAAGTTTGACTGTGAGGAGCACCTCTGCTTGCACCCTTCTAGCAGTCTCGAGAAGCATGTAGGTACATTTACACAGTGGACATTGTTATCCACAACCCTGATCATAATACATCAGGATGTGAAATCGGGGTCTTCTTTCTGTTCCCTAGTCCACCTTATAAAAAAGTTTCCCTGGAAAAGAGGGAACTGTGGGTAACTCAGATGCAGGTGAGTAATCCCGTGTCCTGTAATGTGCTTTGCAATGCTCTAGGCTTTTATCTGGGTCATGCGCCTGCAGCAGTGGAGTGTGGTGGAAGTGCCAGTTGTCACTGAAATAGGACCCCTTGCCCACCCGTGCAGAGCAGAGTCTTGTTATGCAGAGGTCAAAGATGAGAGGTCTGGTGAGGTTTAGTTTTAGCACCTTTGCTTTGCCCCATTTCTTGCATGCAGGGTTATGCCAGAGAATGTCTTTACTGTGTGCATAAACTGTTTCAATTTTTCTCCACTAGGCGTGAAAAGGTCATATTCCCCACCTTGGTCATGGGTAAATGAATTCATTTGCGATGATAAGCTGCATGCATTTTAACTTGGTGCTTGGAGTTGCAGAGCTGGTGGTTATGCTAACTGCATGAGGTAGTTCTCTTAGCATTATAAACTAATAGTCCATGATCAAAGCCTGAGGCTATAATCTCTCTCTTTCGCCTTACTTTAGATAAACTTCTCTGATGCTGTTATCTGTTGCAACCACAAGATTGAGTGCTGCTTGCTTTCTTGATCTAATTAATTTTTCTTCAAATACATGCATATTTCTCATTGAATCAGTTACATCAGAGATAGAGGATGAAGTATTGCTGCTGTTAATTTAGTTAATTTTGAAAGTTAGTTTGCCCTTTGGTCGTGTTTTTCCTTCAACATTTTGTTGACTGTTGGCTTGCCGATGCTCAGTTGCCGTGGTTCTGGCTGATGAGAAAGCAAACAAAAGCACAGATGTGCTGGGAGCTGGCCAGGGTTACAGAGCAGGGGGAGAGGACGGTGTGGTCTGAAGCGTATGGGTAGAGACAGTGCTGCTCCTGCTCGGTGTCACCACCCCTGCCCAGCACAGCCGTGCCAGCTGGAGCCACCCGGGGTGGCACAGTCATGCCAGCAAGGCTGCGCAGGTACCGGTGTCACGGGCTCTGTGGGAGGGGACCCTGCAGCACAGGGACTCAGTGCAGGCAAGGCCTGCAGCAGCTAAGGGTCGGGCTAGTCTCACTCACCTGCCTCTCCAGGGAGCATGGAGGGTTCCCCATGCTATCGAAAAGTCCAGGTCCCTAGCAGCCTAATCTGCCACAGCTTTGTCCCCATCCTCCTCTTTACTTCTCCGTGCTGGGCATTCCTCTACCTCCTTGTGTTGTTACTGCTGCTTGAGAGAGTAAGTAAGTAAGTGATGTGTTTTAAAGCACTGACCTGCCTGAAAAATCACTTTTCCTCTTGTTTTCTTGCGGGGCTCGTCTCCAAGTGTGTTTTGACCACATCCATTTACTCCTCAGGCTGGGCTATTCAGCTACAGGAGAATCTTCTGCTGAGGTTTTGTTGGATACTTAATGTTGAGGGAGTCTTGGAGATAAGGTGCTAAGTACAGCTTGAAATACAGTTTAATGAGTAAAAAAATCTATCTTTAGCAATCAGGGCAGAGAGAGCGGTTGGAAATGGGCACAAAGTCCACACCACTGTAGGGACTGACAGTCAGGAACATCCATCAGAAACCACTGCAGGGAGAGTTTCCAGCAGAGACTGGTGCTTTCCACTCCATTTGAAGCACCAGAGCCTGGTTTCTCAGGAAGTCCAGAGCAAGAGCATAGCGTGGGCCCCACAGAGTGGGTCGGGTTGGGTCTGAGGGATATGGAAATGAGGCAGAAGCAGGAGGCAAGTGATCTGGCTGGATTAATCACTGCGGGCAGGTCTCCAGGCCGTCAGGCAACATCAGCTCCGTGCAGCAGCCCCGTGTGTGTGCCAGGCCTGGGCAGAGTGGCCAAAGGCTGGAGCAATCCATGTGCTCCTCCTGGTGCTGTCTGAGACCTTGAAGACCAAGGACAAGGACTTCTCTTCCCAGCTCACTTCTGGGAAGTTAGGCACCAGTCATACAGCACATTTTATTTGTTATGTTTTACAGTTGCTCTGTTTAATGTCTTTTATTTTCCTTTAACTTTGACTGCAGTAATGCTGGTTTCTTTTCCCTTTTTTGTGCATTTTCGTGTTAGCAACATAAATCCATGGCTGGGTAAGACCTCAGTAAGCTCAGCCATAATGCCAGTTTTCAGTATCCCCCCAGTTGCTGCTACTATTTGAAGCCTTTTCCTGTGCCCCACTTACTGAAGTGGCTTTCAGCAAATCAGAGCCACTGCTTTATCTTTATTTCTGAACTGAGGGCAAGTTTAGGCTGGCAGGATGCAGTGAGCAATGCAGGTAACTGACTCCAGGAGCTGATCCTGGGAGAAGCTGCTACAAATAAGCACTCTGTGCTGCCTTCCTGCTTTATTTTTTTAATTAGCAAACAATGGGGAAACCTTAAAAGGCTTCTAAATGGGGTTTCTATCTTTTCCAGCTTCAGCAGAAACCCTTCTTATGTCTCCCTTGTGCATTGCAGTGCCGTGAGCACTCCACACCTTGTGCTGTTTAACACTTGTAACATGTAACACTTACTCATCCTCTTGCTGCCCTGGCTCTGCAATGGGGTTTGGTTGCCCTTTTTGTTTCGGGCATCACTGGATTATTTGTGACACAGGTGATTTAGGCAGACTCCTGTCATGTCCATGTGGCATCTGTGCTGAGAATCTGATGGCTTCGTGGCTCCTGGCCTTGTTGGTGTACCTGTGGGAGATGGAAAAGGGCACCCAAGCTCCTAAATGTGCGTCTGAGCAGGAGCTGAGGAGGGTTAGAGATGCGTCGTTTCATTTAAAAGAAGAATCTGCCTGCAGAGGCAGGTCCGTCAGATGGCAACAGCTGCAGGGAGGCGTTCTTCCCACCAGCAGAGTTTGGGTGCTGGAAACCCAATTTGGGAGCATTTGGTGCCCCAGAAACAGCAATATTCGAGAAGTTTGTATTGCTTGATTTGGCCCGTTCCTGGTGTAGTGCTATGTGCTAATGTCACGCGTTGGGTTTTGATTCAAATCTGTCACGTCAAGGAGGTGGATAGTTGGCGGTATGGAAATGCCTGGTGGCGAGGAAGGCAGCTCGCTTGGTGCAGAGGGGAATAATGTGCCAAGGTTTGAGTGCTGTGAGGATGTGGCCCCTTCTGCCTGGCCTCATGCAGTGCTTCAGGGGATCACTGGGTTGCAAGGACAGGCTGTGTGGGGAAGGGTGGCACCTGCTGTGGGCTTGAAAGGGATCAGTTGTCCTCTCCAGCCTGCATGTCCCACCGTGTTGCGCTGGAGGCGGCACAGCTGGGAGGTCCCGGTGGAGACCGGTGCTTGTTCAGCTGAGCTGCAGACCCGCCTGGCCTGCCCAGCACGCTGGCATTGGCTGAGACGCATCCTGCACGTGGCAGGAGCCAGGCACTGTCCCACAGTGTCTGTCAGTCACAAAGAGCAGCTCTGAATTTAGTGCAGGAAATACGACAATTCTGTAGAGTTTGGCTTCAACATGACTCATCAAACACAAGCACTTCCAGGCTGCTGATGTTGAATGTCACTTTTCTCTAACCCTTTCAAGAGGGAGCAAACTACCACGTTTTAATCCTGGTTGGTGTTGGGTGTTGTTTGGTTTTGGTTTTTTTCTCCCTGTGCTACTTGGCAGGGGTGCTTTCTAGCTGATAACTAATTTGCAGAGTTATGTCGGGATCAGGTTGGCTTCATGCCCCTTCATCCAAATGTGAGTAGCAAAATACATCTGCCCCTAAGGCTGTTCCAGCAGCTTTTTATTGCATGCAGCCAGGGAGGCACTTGCTTTTTGAAAAGTATCAAAGCAACACTCAAATGGGGGTTAAAGTTTCCAGCATAATGGGGAGGAGGTGGGAAAGGTGGTTTCTCCCTGCTCTGACCCTGGTGCTGGGATGTGCTTCAGGCTGTGCTAGTGTGGATGTTTAACAGCAACAAAGGTAAAGGAAGCAGCCTGGCCCTGCACGGCACTGAGCCGTGTTACCATGGGAATCTATCTGTCCTTGCTAGCAAGTGTTGAGATTTGAGCTCTTCATCTGCTCTTCTGGAAGGATTTTGTAACTGCCCAGTGCAACAGCAGCAGCCTCCTGGGTTTGCTGGCAAGGTTTTTACATCCGTGATCCAGGAGATGCAAGGTCACCAGTGAATGTAAGCCACACAGGAACGGTGTGCCATGTGAAAGCGAGTGTGGAAACAGCCCTGCGCTGCACTGGGGACACTGTCATGAGCCACCCATGCATGAGCTGATGGCACATTGGTCCCATAGGCAGTGATGGCAGTGAGGGGGACGTGCTCCTCTGAGCACTTGCACCGGGTGCAGCCTGGAACCCCAGAGCCACTAGCTCCCAGTTGGCTTTTTCCTCATCAGTAGAGCCCTCACACTTCTTTTTCTTCTTGCTTTTACTCACCGCAGCTTGCTGATCTAAGCAGCAAAGGCTGTCCCCTGAAGTGTCCCTTCTCACAAATGTAGCTGTGCCAGGAGAGATCCAAATGGCATCTTCTGGGGTGCTGGTGGTTCAGGCAGAGCTGGTGAAGTGCTGCAGAGGCTCTTGGGAGCAGACTGACATTGAGGCGAGGACCTTTCTGCCTTGCCGGGGTGTAGGGCCTCTCCCCCCACCTTCGGTATTACAAACCTGACCATGAGGGCAGGGTGCTGGTTCTGGGACAACAGTGGGGGTGGACTTGCTGTCCTGGTACAGGGATGTAATTGCTTCTGGTTGTCAAGGCTGTGGTGGTGGTGATCAGCAGATGGTGAGCCTGGGCAGATGCTGTGTGTTGAGCCTAATTACAGAAGATCTGTCAAAGCCATAACAGAGTAGAGATGGAAAAGCTGTTGGACCCATGTGCTCCTCTCCCAACCCACCAGGAAGCCAGGTTCTCCACATCTTCACCTCTCTAACCGCCTGGGGAAGGGGGAAACCCATGGAACCTGGGGCTGCAGAGGCACCCAGAGCCCCCACTGCACCCCAGCCGGGGGTAGTGTAGTGTAGAGGCAACTGTGCTGTGCTTTAACATGTGCCTGCCTGCTCTCGCAGAGCCCATGCGCCATTGCTCTGTGTGTGTGTGTATGTCCATCCCCATTACTGGGCAGAGCTTGTGTAGCCACCCGTGAAGGACTTGGGGATGCAGCTGGAGTTGGCCCCAGCCCTGCTGCACACCCCTATGTGATGGAGCTGCAGTGCTGCCTGCACAGCCCTGGGGGCTGTGCATTGCTCACAGGCGTCTGCGCTGCTCCCAGGCAAACAGGCAGCAATTAAGAGGGAAGGGGAGCTGATCGTGAGGACCAAGCCTGCAGCACTGCTGTGCCCGGCACCTTCAGCCATATCGACCCGATCGTGTAGCCCCAGCGGGCTCAGGGTCTGCGTAGCAGCCACTTGTCACCCTGGGCTGGTCACCTTGGCCAGCACGTGATTGCTCCGGACAATGGGTTGAGCACCCACCTATATGTATCCCTAGCTGTGGGTGAGCACCGATCCTTGTAGCCAAAGGTGGGAGCCCTGTTGCGGTCATATGTTGGCCCCACTCCAGCAGCCACCGGGCAGCCACTGTACAGTCAGGATGACAGATGCAGTGCGGAGGGAGGAGAAGGGGTCTGTCTTCCAGCTGCTGGTGATGGGAGAGGTGAGCGGTGCCATCTCCTGGGGCTGCTCATCATTTAACGGCCTATCTCTTGTTGCTTCTCAGGGCAGTAAACGGCTTTGATCAAGGTCCCCCTGGACTGGGAGCCTCTCGACCATCCTCAGCGCCTGGCATGCTTCCCCTGAGCGTATGAGCCCGCGGGAGGTCGTGTTCGGACTTGCGGATGCTTTTCTCAGCCCACCAAGAGAAGAACTGCTCCCGATTCCTCCCCCTGCCCACCCCGCTGGAACACGACCCACACCGTGCTGCCAGAGGAGACCCTGTGCTCACGGCCCTTCATGTCATGTTAATACAATTTATTTTCTCCTGTTGCTGTAGCGGACGTTCTCTGACTTGGCCCCACACCCTGTGCCGTACAAGCTGAGACACGCAGTGCTCTGTTTCAGAGGATGCAGGAGTCTTGCTCGCCAAACCTTGGCCAGGCGGTCCTCAGCCCCTTGCTTTATCTCTTCTCTAACTTAGGTTTGGCATGATACAAAGGTTGGCCACTCCTCTTAAAGGCTCCCCTTTTCCCTGCCTGATCCAGCATCCTGCTGCTTAGGACGTGCAGCTGCTGCCCTCCCAGTAAGGCTCCAACCTCTTGAAGAGGCCCCGGGTGAGGCTGTGCGATGGCACTTTGGACATTTGCGCCTGGGAATCGGGGCCAGGTACGTGACTCAGTTACTGCAGCTTAATAAACTACTGCCGGGCAGGCGCGTGGCTGTTGTTGCTGGTGCGTGTCCCCCTCCTGCCTCATGTTGGAGCGGGCAGGGGAGGATGAGCATGTCCGGCAGCCCTGCCTGTACAGCCCCAGCTCCAGCACGGAGCTCCTCTGGGGCTGGGGCTGAGCGGGGACAGGGAGGGAGGGGTGGAGGTGCTGGGTGGCAGCACAGGGAGGGCGATAGTTGCATGTCAGTCGCAACATCAAATGCCCTAGCGTGAGCTGGCAGGGATGAGCGTTGCTGAAGCATTCTCCCTCAGCGCTCCTGTGCCTGCGCAGCTGTGGGGCAGTTACCTGTTCAGCTGCTGTAGCGTGCTCGTGGGACCCGTGTGCCTGTAGCACAGCTTCCCGGCCCCACTGTACCCGGCCTTCATCAGTCAAACTTCCATGCACCTCCACAACAAGGACTCCACGAGCATGTTAGGAAGCCACTAATCCAACTGGCCGCAATGCCCATGAAACCCCCCTCCCAAGACCCTGTAACCGTCACAACCATGTTCCGATCTGTGTAATATATGACTGGATGTTACAGTGTCACCTACGGGCTTCTGTGACAGTTTTGGGTGACTGTGTACCTTGTGGGTCTTTCAAGCAACGTATTTGTGCGATTTCTCTGTCTATGTGCCTCGGAGTCGGTGGATTTTTAAAATGAATCAGCAAACCCAGCTGGAGTTTGATCTGTGGGTTTAGAAATCGTCGTTCCTGGTCTGGTCCATCACATTCAGTTGGCTCTGCAGCTCCAAGTTGGTTTATTTACAAGCGCTGAGAAAAACCATTGGCCCCAGCAGAAGGGAGGTGGGAAGTCCCGCCTTGCCGTTAGGGTTTGTGTGGTCCTCCTTTCCCGTCCATCCTCTGCTGCATTTGACTGTTTACATTTGTTTTATTGTACATAGGTTTGTAAACATTATATCTTTGCCTAAGATCTTTGTACATAACTTGGGCTTTGTAGCTTTATTTATTCAAAAATCTATATGGCATGTTTCAATAGGACAGTGTACCATACCACCATGGTGATACGGATCATGATGTGGTTTAAAAAAAAACAAAAAGAAATGAGAGTAATCTTCCAAAAATAAAGTTCTTTTAACGTGGAATCAGTGGATTTTGCAGAAACTGTGGCAGTGGCTGTATTTTGTCATATAGTGTTTTCTGCCGTGCCCCAGCAAGGGGCTAGCGGTGCTGCTCTGCGCTGCCACGCAGCTCCTGCTCCCCTTCCCGTCAATTCAATTTGCATGCAGAGGGGAACAGCTGCAGCCTCTGCTCCTGGCACTGACAGTCCTGGTGCCTTGGCCGAGTCCTGGGTTTTAACATGGGATTTGTGGAAGAGCCTGGGGAAGCATTGGAGGCCTCCAGCTGCAGCTGCTGAGGATTTTTGCCTCCTGGGAGTAGCTGAAAGGTGTTTCCTCTGTGCCTGGTGGGCTGGCAAGGGCCCTGGCCACAGCCTGTGCCTGCTCCCAGCTCTGGCCCCTGCAGCACCCTCGGCTTTGCCTGACACAAAGGTCGGTACTGCCTCTCACAGGCCGCAGGGCTCAGCTCCAGCTGCTCCCGAGACACCACAGTGGAGACCTGACCCTGGGGCAGCTGCTGCAGCACCCGCTGCCCACTCACAGCCAGGGCTGTGGGGTCAGTGCTACAGGCTCTCCTCTCCTCCTGCAGAGCAGGCTGGCCCTGACCCATCCACGGACAGACACTTGGCAGCACACTTGGCAGTCCCCCATTGGGAATACACTGGCTCCCAGCTCCCTCAGGGAGGCCATGCACCCCACCTGTGACCAGCTCCCTCCTGGGGAAGCAGGGTCACCCTCATTGCAGTCAGCGCCCCTTAAAGATCCCCAGGTAAGAGTAAGCTGTTCTTGCACAGCACCTGGGCCTTCTGCAAGCTGCAGGGACAGGGCCTGCCCGGATGTGTATAAGCCATGCCGGGGTAGTGAAAAGCCCTTCATCCTCCCCTGCACTCATCCCAGCACGAGCAGCAGCAGCAGCCACAACATTGAAGGAGGCACTTGGGGGAAAGGTGCCAGGAGCTGGTGCCTGGGACCAGCCAGGGTCCCCAGCAGCCCCTCAGTTCTGGGAGGCTTCCAGAGCCCAGGCCAGGCAGCTCCCACCATGCCATCTCCAGCTGCCCTGGGGACAGCAGAGCCCAGGCAGGAGCTTCCAGCTGCCCCACCAGCCACCACTGCCTGCTACACCCCCCCTTTCCCCTCGTCACATTTCTAACCCTGTCATGTGTCTCCCTCCTATCACCTCCCCTCCCTGGGTGCATGTAGGTCCACCCTGGTCCCCATTTTCTGTGCAGAGACAGCAAACTGCCTTCACCCGGCCATGGAGCCAGGCAGGGATCAGCAGTGCCTGCAGCTTTCTGCTAGCCTCACCCTTAGCCAACACTCCCTCCTTACTACCGGAGCTCTGCTGCACAACAGGACACCCCACACAGTTAAATTTCCTGCTCAGAAAAAAAGACCAGAGCCTGTTAAAGGCAGAAACAGACTGCACCTGTGCCACAGTACTGAAGGTCAGCACAAGGTTTCAGAGCTCCCCTTGTCCTCCAGCTCTGCATTGCCATTAGAGTTCAAAGGCTCAGCCCTGACCACACCATTTAGAGTCTATCTGGGTCAAAACAGAAGGGAAAAAACCCCAAGCAAACAAAACAGGAAGAAGGGAAAAGGCAGCTTCCAGTCATATTCTCGTTTATTAAGGTCTATGCCAGCCTCAGGAGATAGCTCTTCCGGTAAGTAAACAGAGCAGGCGGCCACATCTATAATGAATAAATTTATTGTCTTACAAAAATCATTGTCTAGAAATATGGGTATACAAGAAAACAAGATATTTGCAGTCAGATGCCTGGTGGTCAACAGCCAGTTTGATTAAAAATATCCAAACACACACAACAAAACCTTTGCGACAGATGTTAAAGCTTTTAACCAAAAAAGGAAATCCATGTTTTCTGAGCATGTGGCAGAGGAAGTTTCCTAGTTAACACTGATTCATTGTCACTAATATCAATAATACCACTTGGACTAGAGAGGTACATGATATGAAGCACAGTCAAAATTAATACATTAAATCATTGTTATATAGGCAAATTATATATGTAACATTGTCTTAGTACTGTAGTGTCTAAGGCACTTTCTGTAATGTCAGTTTTTCAGCTATTTAAACAAAAAGAATGCTAACTACCCACTGTAATACTGTTCAAAATAAAAAAACAACAACAACAAAAAAAAAAAAAAAAGGATTCACATCCACTGGCATGTTAACTCGTAGGCAGGCAACATCCATCGCTGAACCCCCGTAACCCCAGGCTCCATGAGCCCCACGCTGCACAGTACAGCGGCCCTGCTGCTCTGGGCTGGCAGTGGACCAGCCCCCTCAGTAACACCAGGCTGGCTGCTAAGGTATCACATAAGCCTTGTCTCACAGTGCAGCCGCTTGGTTCCATGTCCTGAAGACTAACTCGGCCATAAATTAATAAATTAATTTTGCCTGTGTTGTATGTTTATTTTCCACTGGTGTTCACATTATACTAGCCTTAATATATATACAGATCTGTTGGGCATGGTAATAGCAGGTCTCTACAAATGCAGAAGTACTGTACAGATGAGGAACGGTGACGCTATTTCAGTTTGCCTGTACTGCATGAACACTAACTGATGAAGCAGGTGCTGAGAACACTTCAAAATGATATTGCAGGTTAAAAATGGACACTACTCATTCATCCCTACATTTCCCTCTAACACTCCCCAAGGCCTTTTCACAGTTCACTCGCTGATTGTGTGCTGATCACAACAATTAGGAGAAAAGAAAGATACAGGTGCAGTTTGGTCTTCAATGATCCAACAGACTCAATACAGCCAAGGGCCGTCTGAGCACAGAAGAAATGGAAGGATGTTGTCTGTACAACAAAGCATGCATAGTCATGACAATGGGTCTGTCCCAACCACCTACCCTCTGGGAATGAAGTTTCTGTATTGATAAAAAAAAGTTTCATCCTTCACATGATGCTTTATAAAATGGCTTTACAATGGAGTATCTGGAAAATAGATGCACTGAACAGAGACAATCCCATTTTGTTTACTATATATAAAAAAGCAGTTGTACCTATATCTGAAGCAGGGTACAGTATGGTGAGGCTGGAGAGCCTTAAGACATAGTTGACCTATGATAAGTAACCTTGTAGCATGCCGACGTTTCGTAAGGCAGATTTACGGCCACAAGGCAGTTCGGTGGTCAGGAAAGTCCTCCTCCTTCGGCCGACTATTGTGTAAAAGGTCTCTGCATGCGAACGGTGTGACAGGGCTCTACTCAGCAGGGGCCGGCTGCGCTTCGTTCACATCGCTGCCTTTGCTCTCCGCATCGTCATCCGAGAGCTCCAGAGACGCCCCTTCAATGTGCAGCTGGCGTCTCCCGGATCGACTCGAGGAGAAGGTGATGGGCCCCCCACGCCTGCAAACAAGAAGCAGACAGCGATTGCCGACAGGTCATACCTCGCTCACAGCCCAAGTCCCGGTGCTGGCAGCTGCCCCTGAAAGACCTCTCTGCTGAACCGCAGGAGAATGTGGCGGTTCACCTCCAGGCCACCCAAGGGCCAAGTTTTACACGCAGTGTCTTGAAACCCTCTCTCTCTGACCAAGGGGTCAACACGCTGTGCTCAAACACTCTGGCATTCCTGCTTAGTTTATACCATCACCTTAATTTTGCAAGTCCCAAGTAACTTAAAATATTGTCTCTGGAGGAGCACCAAGCACAGACCAAGTACTAAACAGAGTGGGTTCTCCAAAAAAACAAACAAACAAACAAAAAACAACCAACAAAAAAAAACAAAAAAAAAAACCCAAAAAACCAAACAGCATCAACTGCTTATTTGTGAAGTACTGCACTGCACCTCTCCTGCCATTCCTATAAGCCAACCAGCTCAGGCACTCTCTAACTCTCGAGATGGTTTTTGTTCTGCAGCAGCCTCACCACTGCTGACTCCCATCTGTACTTGATACAGACCTTGATCTCAAAGACCTGCTCTCAAGGAAAATGCTGAAACACTCCCACCAGGGTGCATAAGGGGAAAAGGGATCAGTACCATCCACTGGAAAAGCATGACTGAGCTGTCTCCTCTGTCACGTTTACCTACAGCTGGATTGAACTGGCAACCCCAGGGAACCTGCCAATGTAAGCTCCAAAGAGTTCAGGCTCAAGAGTTGTCAGGAATTTCCCTGTGGTCTGGCAGCTTCCTTGTTATCATCATCAGGCACAGTCAGCAGGCTCCAGTTCAACCCATTCCCTAACATGAGCAGTTCTGCTTCTGCAGTTCCACAGCTGGATGCTCTCCAAGGATGCACTGTGGAGACAGTCTGTGGGCACACAAGGGCTTAGATAAACCCCTGCCCACTGCTACTGGTGCCACTTACCTTAGCCTGTTTTTCAGGGTGCTGACCTCCCGGCTCAGGCCCTCATTAGCCTCCGTGGCATCATCCAGCTCGCGCTGAAGTTTACGTCGGGAAGCGTTTGCACGAGTGGCTTCCTCTTCAGCCTCCTCCAGCTGGCGTTTGAGCTGCTTCATTCTGGCATTTGCCTTTTCCATCTAAAATACAAAACCAGGTACTCAGGATCAAACTAGACAGCTGCAACCCCATGACTGGGGGTTAGCTAACACCCTGTCCTTCCTGACCACCCTGGCTGGAGATGAACCATCAGCCTCACTGAAGACTCCAGCCTGGACTCCTGGAAACACTACAGAGCTCCTGGGTCCAGGAGACCAGGACACGTAACAGACCATCACACCAGAGCTAACAGGGGATGGTTTTGACTGCTGGGAACTACTCTAGTGATTCAGTCATCAAGATAGATTCCCTTAGATCTTTTCATTAAAATGCTTCTTAACAAGCCCTTTCTACTCAAAGTATGGTTTTATTTGCCTTTTCTGAGAAACAGGCCTCAAAAGCTAAGCCCTTCCACCCACCTGCTCCTTGTACTGGTCTGCATGTCGACGCTCATCCTCCACCTGCATGAAGACTTCTTTCAATTTCTTCTCTGTACGACGGACCAATTTGTTAGCAGCTGCTCTTTCCCTAGAATAATCAAAAGCCATAATTTGTCCCAGTACTTGAAGGCTAGGAATACAAGGTCTGTCCTTTCTGAAGGGCTCTCGCCTCATTGTGTAACTGAGTCCTCTTAACATGCCTGTCACTGTCAACAGAACTGACTTAGTTTTAGTGTGCTAGTGGTTGGCTGGGATGCAGCTTTGAAAGCATGAATTCTTAGCACTGGAGCAATACAAGTGTGGTATGCAGGCTAAGAAGCAGGATAAGAAGGTGCTTCTTCACAATGAGATTGAACAGAGCAGCTTTAAAGCTATTGCTAACCAGTAACACGGTCCTCCTGCAGAATCAAAAGCACAAAAAGAACAGAGATGGTGATAAGACAGTCCACCTTCAGATTCTGGGAGGAATTAGTTTAAAAAAAATATATATATACCTGGAGGACCAAGATGGTAAGGACAGACAGGAAGACCTCTCTGCAGAAAGGCTTCTGCAAAGCACAGGAATCATCTCAACTATCTTAAGCTGTCACACCTAGGCTGTTCAACTTGTTTCCTCTAACCAAAGAGACCAGGTGTCTCAAGGGGATGTTTCATCTTGTCTCAAGAAACTTTGGCAGCACCTTGTGGATCCTGGGACTACCAGTCAACACCTTCACCTGGTTAACTTTAAGAATTCAGCAATTTCAGTTACGGAGCAAATAGATTCTGACACTTTCAACCCCAGTTACTTTACAGCTGTCTTGTTAAAGCATGTCCCCTAAACAGTAGGTTTCCAGATAATAAACCCTAATGCCTGTGCTGTAAGTTCACATCTCAGCCCTGCAAAGACTTAAGGCATGGAAGTTTCAGACATTCAACTGACAGAACAAACACAGGCAAACAGATTTTTTTCACTTACTTGGCTTCCTGCTCAAGCTGTTCTTCTAGCTGCACAATCTTGGCTTCTAGAGTAGAAATTGTTGCCTTGAACTTAGACTTCACAGATCCCTCCAGTTCCTGCAGCTTGGCTTTCAGCTCTTTGTTCTGCCTTTCTAGCTGCTGCCGTGCATTTTCACTCTTCTGGGCAGCACTCCGCTCCCCAGCTAGCTCAGAATTAAGCGTGTCAACCTTCCAGAGGAGAAGAATAGAAGATCATTTGGTGCTATTCAGAGCCTCCACTTAACTGCACACTGAAACACAAATTGCCCCTACAGCATTGTCAACAACAGATTCACCTGCAGCGTGGTCTTTCGGAACCGCTCATTGAGAAGCTCCATGTTGCTCTGCTCTTCCTCAAGCTCTTCCTCCAACTGTGCAATACGAGCTTCCAGCCGGCGCTTCTCATCCAGCAGTGCTGACCTAGAAAGGAAGTATTTGGGTCAAGACATGTTCAGATCTGATACAAAGCTACTGGCTAGTTTGCTTCTGATACTTTAGGCATTGCAAATTGTCATGAGAAGCTACTGTGTCAGCAATTCTCTTCATAACAACAAGGAATTTTTATCATGAAGACAGGTCAATACAGAATTTGCAAGCAGACTACCAAGAACTACAGCTGCTGGTGCCTGAAGTTCTTCAGATGCATAATTAACACATTTGATGACTCACTTTCCTGAAGCACTGTTTGCAATCTCATCAGCCAACTCATCCCTTTCTTGCTCAGCATGACGACGGGCTCTTTCAGACGCAGCAAACTCCTGTGAAGGTTTAGGAAAAGATTCATTACAGCATTAGGAATCTCAAGACTTCTGCAAACAATTTAGCCTTCTAATAACTTCTGGGAGGTGCTGTGAAGTGTGATACCCCTGAGGTCTTTTAACAGATAAGCAGAAGCAACAGCTGTAGAAGCTAGCAGGACACATCATCTTGATATTTCCCCCCCTTAACTGCCATATGACTACAATGGATTTACTTCTCCCTGTCCCTGAACTGTTCCTTGCACAAAGTTAAGGAAAAAAAACAACTGTGAACATCGGTAACATTCAAGCCCTAAACCATTCTGTCACATGCTTTAATAAATGCATTCATTGTAAAGTGCGCACTAAATTAAGCAAATTGTTTAGGTTGTTACAGAGTACATAGCATGAATGCAAGCAAAGTATAGAAATCAAGAGCTTTAGCACAATAGTATAAACAGCACTGAATCTCATGTTATAAAACTGTATTAAGTGGCAGAAACACCCAAGCATTTGCTAAGGACAATTCAATGCACTGCAAGTGCAAGACTGACAAGTTTGAAGTCCACAAAAGAATGACATGGGAAACCTCTAGTCAGTCATAGGCTATCTGTAAAGACTCAAACAGTAAGTGTAGTGAAATGTGAGCGATTGCTTCAAACTTTGGTCTGCAGGTGATACAGGAAAAAAAAAAGGCAGTCTCTCACACGAGGCAATTCTGATGTTTGACCTTGTGGCAGACCAAGGAGATAATGGGAGAGAAGTGATACGTAGCAATACTTGGAGCTCTTGCATAAATTGCCAACAATGAAGGAACACATGCCCATAAGAGAAAGGGATGAGGACCTAAGAGGGCAGAGTGATAAACATCCACAGACTTAAATGGTCCACTGAGGTACTGGAAAGCGTGTTAGGTTTTCATCTATTTCAAATAATCAATTTCAGTACTGACACTGTGCACTGCACCTTTCAGAGACTCTCAAACCATCTTGGAAATTTTAGTGAGGCCTCAAATCCGTTTGAGCAGTAGCAAAGCTTTCTCGCTACTCAGGCAGAGAAATGCAGTCTAGACTACTAGACTGATTCCTGCAAAGCTGTAGGAAGTTCACTAATGACCTGGGGCAGTGAGGAACAAGTTCTCCTGGCTCCCATTTCTCTCTTCAACTCACTAGATTGCTTTTTAATTTTTTACTCTCTGATCTTTGCCTTACTCTAGTAAGAAAAACAAATTTCTTGGATTTCAGTCTCACCTCTTGGAGCTGGAGTATTTCTGCTTCGAGACCTTTGAGCTTCTTTTCACTCTCTTTGGACTGTGCAAAGATCTCATCCCTGGATGCACGGGCTTCTTCCAGCTCCCGCTGGTAGTCTTTCATTTGAGCCTGCAGTTGGAAAGCAGGGGAAAGAAAAAGCCATGCTGCGTTAGGACAATCACAATATTTATTAGCAGCTCTGAAGCATTTTGGCCCTTTAGAGGTAAGACCTTCCTCCCAAAGTTGCTTTGTTCCACTTAAATGCATTTTTAGTTCTGATTTTCATAGTAAAACCTCATTTTCTCATCTTTCCATCACTCAATTCCTTGTCAGAAACATCACATTATAAGCCTTCACCCTCATTTATGTGGTATATTTCTTGTAAGAAAAAACTCTAATAGAGCTGCTCAATTACATTTGTCATGAAACTTATGAAGAAGTAAAGCTCTTGGAATGACTTGTGAAAAATTCACTTGAATTGACTAAAAAACCCCAAACTTATGATAAGCATGCAAGGTAGGAAACTATTCTCTTTGCAGAAGTAACACAATGCACCATTTTGCACACCTAGAAGCACATACTTACACTTCCCTTAAGAAACACTGTTAACACAGACTGAGATCTTAATCTGCACAAGTTTGTCTTGAGATGCTAAAAGAGTAAGAAAGTTGGGGAAACTGCATTTAAGTTCTGCATCTTTAGAATACCACCAGTCATGAGACCACTTATTTCAGGTGCTTGTATGAAAGTGTACAGAGATCATGTATGACCTCTCTAGCTGTCCTGTCCGCTTGGACTAGAGAAGCGGGGTGCCGCTAGGTACCAGCATTACTTGTTTTAACCTATGCTCCCTCTTCATCCAGGGCTCAGTTCCAGAATTGCCCTCATTCTATTGAGGTAGGATTTGAATTAGGATTGCCAAAGAATAAAGGGGAGAAGGCAGAAAGGCAATTTAATTTGCTGTATGGTTTACATAGTCTTGCCATGGCCTCATAATCCTGCAGCTTTGGGCCATGACACTGAAAATTTTTGGCAAAACTGAACTCTACCAATTGTTGAATATTTTTCTGCAAACGGGAAATAAATCCTTGACACAAGGACTGTTTTTTTCTTGCCAAACTAAAAAGAATGGGCATCTTGGACCTTTTTACCAGCAACTAAAATTTACTCCTCCTTTTTTCTCTGGAACATTTTTAGCTGAAAATGCCTTAAGAAGTTCAACAAGGTGAGGAAGCAGCAGTCAGCAAGAGCTGAGCTCAAATCAGTAAATTCAAAAACACAAACCACCATAAATGCAGCCTAGAAAGCAATACTCAGTAACTCTTCATGCAAAGTGTTGAAATAAAGAAAAAGATGATGACTGAATAGAAGTACGTGGGGGATAATCTTAACTCCTTACCAACAAAAGGATGAGAGGACTTTTGGGCAGGTGATAAGTTCAGGCCAGATACTCTATGACATGTGTCAGCATAGTCGAGTCTGATACTCCTTTTGCCTTCAAGCTACAAATGTATTTAATGAAAACCAACACCCTTGACAGACTGTCACCAGGAGAGAAAGCAGCTCAGTTGATTAGCTCTGCCTACCTGGAGCTTACGTAGCTGTTTGATTGCTTCATCTCGAGCCTTGTTTGCAGCTTCTATCTGACCTTCCAGGTCTTTCAGATCCATCTCCATTTTCTTCTTGGCTGCCACAGCAAGAGCCCTTTGTTTGCGCTCGTCTTCCAGTTCTGCCTCCAGCTCTCGCACCTGTGAAATCAAGGCATTTAACAGGCTCAGTTCCAGGAATGGAGCAAACAGAATCCTAACAAAATGGTCGGTGACTTCACAAGGCCTTCACAGAGCAGAATTAACATTACTCAACTGGAAAAGACTACAGAATGCAAGCTGCAGGGGAAGACACTGCAGATGGCAAAAACAAATCCACAAATTGGAAGCAAAGATCTCTGAACTGACAAAAAGGAAAACAAAGACAGTAGCTCAGCATCTGAAGCATTTCCATTTCATCTGTTCAGCTACTTAGTGATCAGCTTCTTGCCCAGCACATCTATCCATATTTAATTATCACTTTAAGGCAGATGACACTAATTCTGACTGAACCACTAAGAGGAAAGTAAGAAGCAGAATCACCTCATTTTCTCAAGGAAAAAAAAAAGAAATCATTCTCTTTGAAACAGCTGTGCTACTAGCATTTATACACCAACAACTTTTTCTTTTTAAAACAAAACAGAAAAGTAACTAAGCAGTAAGCCAACACAAACTAAGCCAAACTTATGCAAAAATAAAACCGAGCCAGAAATGCCACAGGTTAGCAACATTAAAGAATATATTTTGTTTTGAAGCAAGCCTCCCTCCTCATGCTAGGTCAAAAGTTCTTGTCCAGTGCAAGATAATAGCAAATTTGCATTGCAATGAACTTCAAAAGCCCTCCAGGCCATGCTTATTTCTAAGAGATCTTCCATATTGCTGATTCTCAGTAATTGTACATTTTTGTTTTCTTGTGATAAATCTTGAAATACTGGGTGTTTTTTCCTCAAAGTTTAATGTTAATTTAGAACCATCTTCTCACAAGCATGAGATTTTAAAGGCATTTCTTAAGGCTCTTCTGATCTGCTTTATGTTTCTGGAATTCTCAAGTCTGGCAAATCTGGAATCTTTGCCACAATTTTCATTTAGGAAACTGTTTACTTAATTACAGTCTTTCAGTCTATCTCAGCATCCATGGATTAGTTCCTGTACATCACATAGGATGGGCTTGAAAGTCCAAATAATGTACCCCTGTCCTTGAAATACACCCACGCAGCACTAGCCAAACCTCTGCTTGCACATTGAGTGTTTTTGGAGGACCATCAGTAGCAGACTAACACTAACAGTTGACAGTGGCCAGTCCTCAACAAGACGTATTCTACTGTCTGTTACAAACAGTAACAAAGATCAGTGCTTGGGATTTCTACAGGATGGGAACTTTAAGCAAAGAGTTTTATTTTTCTGGTAGCAAGTTATCACTGAAGCCACAGAGCTTTGGCAAGTTCCTCACGGCCTTTTCACTATGAAGTACAGTAAAATAGACATACTTGTTTAACCAGCATCCTCTTTTTCTCTTCATTCTGTTCATCTCTGGCTTGCAGATCTCTCTCAAACTGGGCTTTCATAGCTTGCATGTTCACCTCCAAACGAAGCTTAGCATCTTCTGTGGCCTGCAGTTCATCTTCCAGTTCCTCAAGCTGAGTCCTCATCTCTTCAACCTGTTGCTCTAAAGTTCTCTTTGACTTCTCCAGTTCATGGACCTAAGCCACAAACATTAATCAGACCCTCTCCTTCAGGTATCTCAACATCAACAGTTATTAACAGCAAAATAAGACATTACATGAACTCAGTACACTACATTTTGTGATGCTCTGAATTGGACAATGAATCACAACAGGCACAGCAGCATCTTTAACTCTGTATTAGAGAACCCAACAGACATCTATGCAGATGATTTATGAGATGAGCTGTGTAATGACACAGAGAAAAAGAAGTGGTAGTGAGATAAGCTCTTAAATCTAGCACAGGTGCCATTAGTCATTTGGCCAGCAACTTCTGCTCTCCATGTCTTCACAACTTTTGAAGAGGCCTGATGTTAATAAAGACATCCCTTTATTCTGAGCATAAATTCCTCCAGAATTCTGGGTTATAAATCAGCTTCAAAAAGTTCTATTTTTGTGTTAAATATACTTCTCCTGCCAGGTAGTTTTCCTGTGTTATTCCCTATGTAGTATATAACAAAACACGGTGTGGAAACGTACTTACATTTTTGCCCACATCATCTTTAGAACTCATTAAGTCTTCCATATCTGCACGCAACTGTTTGTTCTGTCTTTCAAATTCTTCCTTAGCTTCCAGGGCTTCTTCCAAAGCCCGAGCTAGAGACAGTGCTTTGGTTTCCTTCTCCCTTGCTTCTGCTTCAGCACGATCTCTTTCCTCTGCATATCTGGCAGAAATGTTCTTTTCTTCTGCCAGCATCTGAACATAAGAAATAATTAATCCATCTCATAAGTTCTATAATCAGGTCCTCTCTGCCTCAGGTGTTTTAGTCAATGAAGTGGTTAATGCTCTAAGTTTAACTGGCCTTCAGAAGCTGTCTAGTCTTTCAGTCTTGATCAAAGTGCTAGTAAGAAAACAGCTACAGCTACTCTGGGATGAGATGAGGAAAGCAAGCTACTAATCAAGATTAAATAAGTTTTATATTATTTTCATCTTTCAGTCTTCACATCCTTTCTTAGTCTATCTTGAGGGATTACAGTAATAGTCTTAAGTTTTTGTTCCAATATAATTTCCTTTTTGTATATAAAGAGCTTATTACTTGATCTAACAAGACTCAAAGCTGGCATTTAGCTGACTGAAATTTTAAGTGACAAGTTACTCTTAACAAAAGCCAAGCTGCTCACAAAGATTTATCAATAACCACAGTACCCTACTCAGACCCTTCTTTATACAAGGCTCATTTATGCAGTAACAATATAAACAAGATGCCATTTAAAAATCATAGAAAGCAGCAAGATGACAGGAAACTAGACTACCTGATCAAACTTCTTCTGCTTTTTCTCCAAGTTAGAAACAATCTGGCGCTGATGATCTAGATCTACCATCAAGTCATCCAGCTCTTGCTGCAGGCGATTCTTTGTCTTCTCCAGTTTGTCATAAGCCATTGCCTTCTCCTCTAGGCGTTGGCTTAAGGACTCCATGTCCTTCAATAATTTCTTCTTATTTTCCTCCAAGCCTTCAATGGTTCCCAAGTCATCATCTACCTTTTTCTTAGCATCAGCCAACTGAAATTTAATAAAAGAAAATAATGTTCCTTAGTGCATCACGAGAAGGAAAGAAAGGCATCAGGTCCAAAACAGCAAACCAGAAAGAGATGTTATTGCTAGCTAAAGTAACAAAAATTGTGAGCTAGCAGGATACTAAGCAGGGGAAAGTCCTGCGCATTGCAGCTAGTCGTCATTGCAATGAAGAAACACCACTGGAAATTTTATTCCAAAATCAGGTCTAGCACAAGTGCAAATTACATGACATTTTTCTGAGAGGCTCGGGACACCAATTCATCTCACCTGGAGTGTGTAGGCCTTACAGAACTCCTGCCATGTACAGCAACTTACCTGTGACTGCAAGGCAAGCATCTGTTTCTCCAAGTTCTTTCTGGCCTCCTCTTCCTCTTCCTGCTGCTCTTGCAGGTTGTTCTTCTCCTCTTCCAGCTGCCTAATCCTACTGCTCAGGTTGAGTTTCTGGCGGGTTTCTTCCTGAAGCAGCTCCTGTTACATAAACAGAGATATTCAAAGTTCAGTTCGGTTCATAATGTGTTAACTGTGGCCTTGGGCTACCGCCATCCACTACCCTATATGGAGTTTCAGGTTTGATTATTTTTCTCACAGCACTTTTGCACAAGGACATGCTTATGAAGACATCTGTAATTTGGGTTTTCAAAAACTGGTCATTCATTTTGGGCACACTTAAACCTCTATAAAGCATATTTCTGATCAGGGAATCCATGCCACTGTCTGTTCTAGAAGTTAATGGATGGCACTTTTCTGTCTTTAGAGGGACGAGCACAGAAGTCAGCTTCAAAATTTGTATTTCTTCTTTCAGACGAGCATATAGCGTACCTATTTTAAACCACCTGGGAACAATATATAGCAGCAAATCCTGCAATGGCAGCATGCTTCCAAGTTTTGCTGCACTGCTTAAATAGAAAGGTCAGTTTAAAGATAGCTGTAATTTGGCAGTGGAAACTTCTGTCATAATGGAAACTAATGAAAGGTGTAACCACCATCACCTCTCCCCCATTCTTTTCCTCACAGACCTCTCTAATTATGATTAACATTATTCAAGTAGTCACCATTAGCATTTTATACAGGGGAAAAAAAGAGTACATTTAAGTGATGAATACATGCATAAAGCTGCATTATTTAACTCAAAACCAAACACCATCAGTTTGAACTTAAGCTGTAAGAACTTAAGCTGTCAGTAAAAGACAGGGTATTGTCCCTTGTGCCTTTATATAACCCAAGGATCTTATTTACATTAACATTCTACCTGGAAAGGTTTTATTGACTTAATTCTTATCTCCCACAGAGACTAAGATATAAAAGAGAAACTGAAAGGCTATAATCTAGCAAGTAGTGAATCTTAGATAATGAAAAATTGGCTCAACAGGTAGCTGAGCAATCATTATATATCACATTTCACTAGGCTTCAACAGGAAATACAGCTTCTACCCAAGGGACTTTCCAAACCGTGAATGAAAATGTATTTTCTGTTATGCAGTTAGCATTTCAATGAGGAACAAAGTTTCAGTGCAAAGTTCAAGCTTCACCGCGCACACACCTGTGTATCCTGAAGCTGAGATTCCAAACTAGCCGCATCCTTGGCAAACTTAATGCCTTTCTTCTCTGCTTCCTCCAGGAGACTTGAGACATTATCCAACTCATTCTGCAAAGCAAGCAGTCTAAAGGTAACAGCATGCAGCTGATTCACGGCAAAGCCTACATCCCACTGGGAGCTGGAACTGCAGAACACAAAACCTCAACAAATTCCAGGTATGGCAAGACAACAATACATCCCAGCAGAGAGATACAACAAGCTAAAAACACTGAAGTTCGGCTAGAAACTTCAAGTTGGATGTCAGTCTGGACCTTAAGTGGTAGAACATAACAATAGTTAAGCATGCTATTTAGCAGAGCACATCATTCCAATATCTGCATTCATATATAAATACTATTTTTAATTATAGGACTATATATTTTATGGGAGCAATAATTCAGGGATTATCAGGGTGGCAGCTGGGTTTAAAGCATCACTGCAAGAGAAAAGGTTACTGCCAGGTGCCAGCTCTTGCTATTTTAGGCTATGTTACTTTTATACACAGTGAGAGACTACCCAAAAGCTTTCTCCAAAAAGAACTGGGCCATTCCCTTTTTTAAGTACTTTAGCTCAATTTACCTAAAGTACTCGTTGCTGTGGTTTAAAAGTCAGCCCTGATTTCATTTTGCCTATTTTCTCCATTTCCCAGAAAAATGGGCCTTTACTTGCAATCCCTATCTGCCAAGCTCCCAACTTGGAAGCACAAAAGGAAACCTGTGGCCACCATCAATCAGTACATTTTTGCTCACACATGAATGAGCTCAGCCCTATCTACTCAATTCCATATCCAAGCCAAAAACCTACAGGCCACCTGTCAGCAGCTTGACTATGCAGAGCCTCCTACAGGATTTGGTCTCCAGGATGGGAAGTCACATTCTTAAAAGCCACTATAATTCTCACATAACCCAAAAAGTTCCGGATTAATGTCATGGCTATCCAGCTATCTCCACCTGAGGCATGTCACCACTTTAAGGCCCCTCAAGTATGTGAAAGTGAGTGACTGAGGTCACCTCCCATGTCAACTACAGGCTCAGTTCCTGTGGACCTAGCTGCATCTTTGAAAGTTGTTTCTCTTAGCCATTTCTGTATAGGGTTAAGACTTTTAGTTTCTTGCCTATTTTTCAGCAGTTTAGGACTTCCATACAGCCTTACCTGCAGCTTGTTAGCTTTCTCCGCCAGCTCCACCCTCAGTCTTTCGCCTTCTGTGACCTTAGCAGTTAGCTCTTGTACCTGAGCATCAAGCTTCTTCCTCTTATGTTCAGACTCTGCCTTGACCTGCTGCAGTACCTTCACTTCACAGGCTAACTCCTTGTTGTCAGACTCTAGGCCTTGCTTGTTTTTTTCAAGATTTGCTTTGAACTAGGAAAGACAAAAGGAAAGATATTCAGCACTTTGTTACATACAAATAAAGTTTTCTGCTAAAAAAATATTCAGTCCAGCAAATCAGGTTTACAAGTTCAAAGATAAAACAAGTGCTCAGCAAGTTGTAAGTTGGGAGTGCTTAAAATGCTGCCATGTAACATTCTGTGTATGTAAGCCAACGACTAAGTTAATGCAGGTTATTCCACTCTCAGATATCACAGGCAGCAGTGATGACCAGAAGATACTTCTATGAATTCAAAAAGATCTGGGACGTCAGTGCTCTAAAATGACTGTTTGAGTAGCACTGTAAGTAGGAAGGAATGTGCCCATTAACAGATCAGCATGGCTCATCTCACAGAAATAAAAGGAAAGATATCAACTAAAGCTGCCCTGATTTTAGTAGGCATAGCAGCTTGGAAGTGCATAACAAAGCACTTTTCACCACTGCACTGACATTTGTCAAAAACCTTTTTTAAAAAAGTAATAATTGGCATAAGGGATGTTTAAATACCATTCTTACTATATCACCAGAACTGACATCATCTTATCACAAGACCTTTGTTTAAGATTGCAGGGTATTTTTTCCATCTTTTCATGCTCTTATTGAGAATATTTAATGAATAAAGAGCAGAAGACATGCATAAGATCTTCAGGTGACTAAACTACGATTTCCACCAGCTTTAACTACTATGTTTCTCACTTAGTTTAAAATACTAAGGAAGCTTGCGAAGCATTCCCTACATAAAAATATTACGACAGTATATGAACTGTCCACACATACATTTGTGAATTACCAAAACTATAATTTCACAAACTAAAGAATTTTTTTTTTTTTTTGGCAGTGTTGGAATAATTCTGCTTTTGAACAAGACACAAGCTACATTAGTAGGAACCATGCTACCCAGGTGTGCCTCCTCCTGCCTGCTCTGGTGGTGGTTACCAGAGAACACAATACAGCTGTGCAAACTAGCAAGATACTCCACAGATATCTAGCACTGGAAGTCACAGTACAAGCATGAAGTTAAGAGTGGCTGGAAGAACTTTTACACTACCTGCACTCACAGTTTGTTATTTGTGAGTGCTGACATTAAAATTACCTAATATGGAAGCACTCTGCAGTTCACTCATGCAGAGAACTGCTTTTCACCAAATAAGCAAGTGGACTGCTCTAGAATTCCTACAGGAGTACTACATGGTTTATCTCTAGGTGCACCATTTCCAAGTCTAACGAACGCTTTCCAGACAGAGGCCAAGACTGTCTAATAGTTGCAATATATTCAAACCAGTATGATGTATTTGATTCAATTGCAATTGTTATGCATGTAGAGAGGACAACTTAGCTCTGCAGATATCAGTGGAAGGGACCACACAATCAGGGTACTTATAAAAAGTCCTGAAGCAGAAAAGCACATTTCTGTAATTCATTTTCTTCTCACCCTTTTGGCCTGTTCAAGTTGTTCAGAGAGCTCTTCCAGGGCAGTAGCGTGCCTCTGCCTGATTTCCTGGATCTGTGCTTCATGGTTTTTGGTTTCCTCTTCAATTGCTTTCTTCAGTTCAGCCACCTCCTGCTCGCGTTTTGTCCTAGAGGAAGCATCAAGGATTATCAAAATCAACATTTTAGTCTTTTGTAAATTAAAGATCAATTTTAATGTGCCTTGTTACACAGACCTAAGATCCTACCTCAGCTCTTGCTGTGCTGCAGTGGTATCCAAGGTATCTTCCAGTTCAGTTTTTAAAGCTTCCAATTCTTCACTTAAATCTCTTTTCTGCTTTTCTGCTTTGTTGCGTGATGCCTTCTCAGATTCAAGATCCTCCTGGAGTTCTGCAATTTGAGCCTGCAACTCTCTTATCACTTTCAGTGCATTGTTTTTCTGAACTGCTTCTTCATCACCTCTGTTAAACAGAGGCACAACAGTTAATGATATTTCATAGCTTCAGATCTATTCTCATAATGGTCTAGCATTATTTAAATTATGTACATAAATGATATCTTAACTTTTCCACTAGAACAAAATAGACCTTCCAAAACTTCATAGACAGAAGACCACTACTGTTATTCTCAAGATCCTGACCAGGTACTAGAGAGGCGGTACCAGAATGATCAAGCTTTCAAGTTTATGTTCAAGTATTCCAATTTTGTAGATCTCAACACTGTCCCAAAAATGCACCATCTGTAGAATTTTCTCTTCCTGCAAAATTATAGTTGCTCAAAAAAATACAGAAGGTGTTTAGCTTATATCATAACATGTGACTGCAAGACTACCACACAAATCTTGATAACATCCATCCAACCCAATCATAGAAAGTACTCTATTAAGAAGGCTCACTGAGAATTACATGCTTTTTCCCTCCTGAGGCTGAACTCTGGGAGACTAAAAAAGCTTCGAGACCCCAAACGCTATTATACCCTGGTGAAACTTCTTTTTTGCAGCTTTGTGGAGCAATGATGCTGATAAAACACTGAATTATCTTTTTTGCCATGTCTACACACAGCACAGGTGCCTAGAGATGCTCTAGTACAAACACGAGTTGGCTTCTTTAACATTCTCATTTCTGATGTGTTTGCAGTCAACTGAAATTCTGTCTGGGAAAGCAGGTTCCTACCACACTTTGTAATCATAAGCACCATTGTGCTCTGACCTAGCAAGAGCAGCCTGCAGTTCTTCCTCTTTCTTGGCCAGCTGGATCTTCAGTTCTTCAATCTGGGCTTGCAGCTCAGCTATTTGGTCCTGTAGGTCTGTTGTTTCACCATCAAGTTTTCTTTTAGCTTTTTCTAATTCTTGACGGGTCTTCTCCTCCTTTTTTAAGCGCTCTAAGAAAGGAAAGAATTATATTTATATGCAAGTTTTTCTCTTGTCATCCTCAGAAGGTTTGGGGGAAGGGCCATGGGGTGGCAGGAAGGGTAGGAAATTTAATTTATACTGTGTCAATTCTTTCTCCAGTCTGCAGCTAGAAGGCTGACTGGGAAAGATGAAACAGCGAAGTAGAACTGTATGATTTAGATAGAAATTCAAGAAAGTCAATGACTGGAGAAAAAAGTTTAAAATAAGGGAACAGAAGCATAACCTCATCTTAACAGAAAATAAGGAGTGGGATCTAAGAGAAGAGCAATTTGAGCTGCTAGGCCAGATAATCACAGACATCAAGATTCAAAAATGAAGATCAGCTATAGACTGGAAAAAATGATGGCTTGCATAGTTTTGGAAGGGCTAGGCTAGACTCCAAAAAGTCTACTGGAAAATAGTATAGCTTGAAGAAAACTTGGATAAACTGTTTTTGCAAGTACCTGTGCCACTAACTCACATCCCATCGATATTTAGCAAGACTCTGCAACCCCAATAGCTTCCAGTAATTTAGTTGTGTCGCCGAGATCTCCTGCCCTAAGGTATTTCTTTGTGAAAACCATCCAGTTATCAGTGCCATAGCAATAAAAGACATTTAATTGATCTGCCTGTTGTCTGATTGTTACTAGCTGCATTGTTTACAGTTAGCTAATGACCAGGTATGTAATATGCAAGTCACAGGGAGGTTTTGCTTAGCATAGCATTAGCACAATTCTAAATTCATTAGCATAAATATAAGTTATGAGATTTGTTCAATACTTTGTGCATCCTCAGTGCAAAGATTTCTCTCACACCCTTTATAAGCCTGCTACTGGATCAGGACATCATCTTCTATTTGGAAAGGGAGCCATGTTCAAGAATCATCTCTTAGAGCCACCCATGGCTATTTGGGATTTTCTAGACAATCGAAAGTAACAAAATTTTTCTCTAAACAGTTCCTCATTCAAAAAAATAGCACTTTCCCCCCTGTTTTTACATTATATTTCCAGTGAGTGACAGTTAGAACAGTGTCATAAGACTCAATTTTTAATTGACAAAGTTCATAATAAACTGAATTAGGTTTGTTTTTTTTTTTTTCCAAATATCGGTGCCCAGTAGTGCCAAGACCCTAGCAGAGAGAGACCTTAATGGCTTCTTGAGTCATCTCCAAGAGTAAATATCATTTGACTGTGCTTTACTAGCCAAGAAATTGCATGCCTTATATTTAAGCTTTAATTTCCATTTCTCTAAGATCATCAGTCTTGGAATGGTACCATAACCAAACACATCTGTCAAGCATCTTCAGAAACACTAGGCCTGATTTAAGCACACAACTACTCAAGCATTATTTTCCAGTGAGTAAAACTTACTTATGCCCATCTTAGGGTCTCTGAATACAATTTTTAAAGAAAAGGTACATCAATCACCTACTATCCCTCTTAGTTCAATACCTTCCTATATAGATAAGATTAAAGTTTGGTATTCTTCCATAAGCATATCAGTTTTAAAATACGTAGGAAAAGAGGACATAATACAGTAAGTGAAAAAACTATTTCCAAATTAGGGCATAGAGAGCAACTTTGCCTCATATTTTGCAACTTTGACTTGGCAGTTTATTACTGTTGCACAACAGCTATTTACAGCCATAAGTAATTTACAAAAACATAAAATCAAGAAAGGTCACATATAAGGCTAGTTTAGCCTGTGACAACACAGGCAAAACAATCAAACAAATGGCCAAAAAAATGGAACCATTTTAGATAAATGAAGCATTAAGAAAAGCAAAACAATTCAGATTTGCTTATTCAAAAAATATTGGAAGCTTAATGAATGCCTACTAACATTTTTCCAGCAATATGCTGTTCTAAGGTGTTATTATAGAAAAGGTAGCAACTTCCCAAGAGACAGATGTTTTACCTTGTTACTAAAGGGATGCATGCAACAACTTGAATTTCTGAGTGCATCTATAAATGAAATGGATTCTCAAAAATGAAAACCTAACAAGTTAAACACGAGAAAGACTGAGCGGCCAGATGCAACAAGTCTTGCGACACAAATTTCATTCAAGATTTAGATAAAAATAACAGCTGTTAAGGCATCTACATATAAGGTTACACTTAGCAGACTGGACCAGATACTGCATACATTATAATAAGTGATCCATTCCTTTCTAGCATGATGTCCAACCTGTTAATAGGCAAATATAGTAAGAACAAACCTTCCAAATCAGTGATCATCATTTCCTGCTTGTTCTTAAGTTTGGCCAAGTTTTTGGCCTTTTCTTCTTCTTCAGCCAGCTGAGAAGTACATTCAGCAATTCGATCCTCCATCAGCTTCTTTTCCTAGTTAGGAGAAAGGGAACAAAGAATGACTTCTAAAACACAATTTGAAGAGTCTCTAAGCAGCACAAATAACTGAATATACAAAATTCATATAGAGGTCTCATACAACATATATAATACAGATTTTATTTCAAGTGACTGAACGGTCAATATTAAGGATCAATTGGAATAGTATAGAAACATGAACATTTGTTTTCAAAGAAAGTAAGACTTGGAATTTAACACACGGGAGGCCTGGTTTTAGGACAGCATTTGCTGTATACTTTCGGAAATCTGTTTGCAAAGAACAACGGTAGCTATGATAAACATCGGTTACAGCTCTTAGATTCAGAAGACTCGCGAAACTGGAAGGAATGCAGACAAATACCTCCCTTTTGAAGGTCAGTTCAAAAGAATCTCTAACCTGTTCAAACCCCACAAGTATTCAAGTGCAAACTTTATAGATAATGTAACAGGAGTCTCAAGTGTTTTCAGAGCTATCACTTGGCACTACTATTACTTATGCACAGAATATCCACCATGCATACTGGTCTCACCTTCAAAAATTTGGAATTTTGGTCCTCCAACAGTAGGATCTCTTCCTCCATCTTCTTGATCTTAGCTTCAGCTGTCACTTTTTCAAGCTGCAACTTCTGTCGAGCTCCCTCCTCCTCATCAAGCTGTTCCTCTAGGTCCTGGGAAGAAAGGCAATTGCATCTGTGCATTTTCCAGGTTACCCATGTGTTAAATTTTTTTTTTTTTTTTAACTTGGTGAAAAAGATGTATTATTTTGAAAAGCCACCTGCCCTAACTAACACTAAAAATGCATTTGGTTTGTTAGATTCATTTATAGTATCAATGATCTGGTAATGAAATTAAGGGCCATGTGATACACATGGAAATTTTTATGCTCTGTATTTCAGCTTTGGCTGAAATAGTCTGTCTAGGAAACATACACTCACTTCACCAGTCTTTCACCTTCCTAATTCTGAACATAAAATAAGAAATTCTACTTAATGACAAGTAAATCTGATCAGGCTTTCTGTCAAAGACTTCCTGGCATACTGCATCTGAATAGGGCATCTGGTATAAAAGTGTGTAGGAAGAGACACCACAGGAAACACATCTCATTTCAGTATGAGTCCAGATCTCAATATTACAGCTGAAATGGTTCAGATACTGGCACAAATAGCTAGATACAACTGGAAAAGCAATAATGTATTGTGCTTCTATTCATTTGTGGTTTTAAATAAGATTCTCAGCCACACATGAATAGACACTTATTAAAAGGGATCAAGAGCTGTGAGATGTGTGGTTTATTTCCCCTTCAAGTACCTTGAATATTTGGAAAGACAGATAAGTTCTCAGGTATTCTCTTTTTCAAGGTCCCCGTTATTCAAAAAGGAAGCATCCAAATCATCCGATTTTCACAAAAAAACCCAAAAAACCCAAACAAGTAACTTGGAGGAGATGGAAGCTGCCTTAGTTTTGTAAAATTCAAAGAAGTAATATTCTTTATGATATTCACTGGATTTCAGTCAAGGAGGAACATTTCTCTCATACGTGACATCATCCCATCAGTCTTTGTTTCTATAAGAAAGCAGGTAAGCCCCATGCAGTCATTCTCGGTTCCTCCCCACTCAAAAGTGCTTGCTACCTTTAATACTCTATTTGCATACACTATAGCTACCAACAGGGCATTCTGACTTTTCTTTTTCTTTCCTCACCCTCATATGCCTGAAGACCACAAGCAGCTAAACACACTGAACACAGGAAAAGAGAAAAAAATTCAGATTTATTTTATTCCACACATGGTGCTAAAGAGCTAAATTCTTCTGTGCCACAGAGATGTTGAGGGAGCTTCCCCATCCTTAACTGCCCTGTTTGCATCCTTTTCCATTTCCAGTTACCAAGAAGCATACCTGAATATGGCCCTGCATTTTCTTTTTCTCATTCTGCAATATTTGGTTTCTTTCCTCTTCCTCCTCAACCCTGGACTCCAAGTCATGGAGAATTTCTTCCAACTCTTGTTTTTTGGCAGCCAAGCGAGCCCTCATTTCCTCAGCTTCTGCAAAGAGCTCTGTCTCAGCCTGTAGCTGCTCTGCAAGAATGTTCTTCTCTTCTAGAAGCTGCAAATATACACAAAAGGTAGTAAAGCAGTAAAAATGACATTTCAAAGCCTCTCATGAGAGATTATACATATGACAACTACAAAGTTACTTAAAGGCCAAGTTCTGCTCCAATTCTTGAATCCCTGGCCAACATCCAAAACCAAAGACTTTTAGCAGAGGGCTTTTTCAGCAGTCCAGAAGACACCAGCTTTCACAATAGGGTTACAGCAATATTCACTCACTTGTCCTCCCAATTTAAGGAACAAATCCCACTGCACCTACTCCACCAGCCCTGTTCTACCAGCAGCAGAAAGATGAGAGAAGTGCCTGTTTCCTGGACTGTTCCTTGAACTCATCCCTACATTCCTAGGCCATGCCTTCCAGACCTTTTATCAACAGGAACTGATGCTTTGCCCTTCTAGATATCCATCCCAGTTCTACCATGTCTCAAAATTACTATAGTGATAAATACACATCTATCTTTACTGACACTCTTTCAGCTCTTCTTTAAATTGATATCAATGTTACTTATCAGCATAAATCTATTTTCAGTTTTGTCCAATAATTGCCGTAATTGCTTCCCCACATCTTAAACAGCACATACACACCACAGAATTATCCTACCCTGAAAACACATCTGAGAAGGCCAATGACACTGTTACTTAAGTTCTGCAAACTAGGAAAGGCCAAAAAGATGTTTAGTTTTGTTAACATGATACTTCTGCATTCCTAGAGGAATGGCTCATGCTACATGTTCCTATTCCAGGTTTTAGCTGAGTGTGAAAGGAGTTTGCTTGCCTGATTCTCAGTGCTTTTGCTCACAAGTGTCTTCCCAACATGGCTCCCTCACATGGGATATAGTGCAATTCACATGCTAGATATCAAAAGCTGATCTTGGACACAAACCTGCTGATGTTTCCTTTCCATTTCCTCAAGTTCTGCCTCCACTTTTGTCTGTTTTTCTTTCACCTTCATTAGCTCCTCGTCCTTGGCTTGAAGTTCTTCTTCTTGACGAGTGACCTGAAGAAGAGGCTTCACCTGCAAAGATTTGAAATGAAGAAGTGAGAACACGCATTCACCTATTTACAGGCATCAAAGAAAGTCACAAAATATAACAAACCTTCGTGAAGACTCTCCACCACTGCCAGTGCCTAAGCTTCAAATATGCAGCACAATTCCTCTGCAGGATTTTCAGTGCACTCAGTTGCTGTTGTTTCTTTGCAAAGGCCCTGAAGACAGAAAGAGCAAAACATTTTGTGTTAAATACTGCTGATCAACTGTCCATGTTTTTAATTTTTAGGTTACCCAACCCTAGAACACTTGCAGACCATAAATAGATTTATTTTTAAGTTTGAGTGACTACACTGATTCATGAGTACTCATTCCTTATACAAAGAGGCAGAGCAAGAGCTGGGTTCACCATTTTCAAAACAATAATTACAAATGCTATTTGTTCTTAGTCTTAGCAGACTTTTCTCTTAAAAAGATAAAATCAGGATGGATTTTATGCTGAACTGTCCCTTAATTTCAAAAAAGCAGCTTTCCAGAGTACCTCTAAGAACCTCCAGTGGAGCAGGAGGAGAGATTTTTTGCAGCCACTAGCTATACTGTAAACGGCTGCATGTGTCACAAAGGCAAGATTAAGGAAAGGAGATATTGTTAAGGAATGAAAGTGCAAATTCTTATTAGGTAAAAATTCACCTAACACCCTGGATACAACTACAGTTTATCAGGCAACACAGTTTAAGAAAGTCTCTCCTGAAATGGAAGTTTTAAGGCATAGCTCCCTATCAAAGAGACTTCAGATGACGAGAAGATCAAACCATAAAAGCACACATACTTCCGAGCCAGGTATCCTCTACAGACTGCCTGGAAGAAGATGATAATATCTGTGATCTTCAGATCTCGTTCTTCTTCTAAGTGTGCCAAGACACCAGCTCGGAAAAAGATCTTGCTCTGTCCAATTCTGTATAAGTTGGGGTCCAGCTCTAAGGCTCTGATCTAAATGGACAGGGAAGCACATTGTTTTTACATCAAGAAAAGGACCATTTTTGTTTCAACTTTTCAATGTTTTAACAATATTTAGATATAAATACTTACCATACGCTCACAGGCTTGCTTACCATCCATAAAACCTTTTGGAATTGCATTGGGAGTAAGGATCTCATACCTTTAAGCCAAATGAAAAAACACCTTTACATTCAACAATAAGCTACATTATTATAAACCCATAAAGCTATAGTTACCAAGGGCACAGCTAAGGAATTTCTCCAGAAAGTTTTTCCAATAGTCCATTTCAGAATGTTTCCCCTTCCCTACTGTCTTCAGAATAAACTTGTAGTATTTAAGTGCTTGAAGTTCAAGCCACTTCAAGACCTCACACATGGTTCTGAATTTTCTTCCAGTTGGGTGCGGGAGGGGGCAGGGGTGTGTCTTCAATTATTTAACAGGGAACTTTATATCATAAAAACTCAAAAGACTGTTCCTGCTGTTACCTCTGCCTAAATTCCTGGAACACTATCCTGTTTGGAAATCCTTGTCGACAAATCCTTATTCCTTCCAAAACACCGTTGCAACGAAGCTGATCTAGAACCAGATGTGGATCCAGTTTTCCAGCCTGGACAAACAAAACAAGCATGATTTTTAGTCTTTTAATTTGTATTAATAAAAAGCTGTAATTTAAGCTTTTCAGGCTACCCTCTACAAAGTCAACTGTCTAAATAAGGGGATGTGGGGGAAATACTGAGAAGATCCGTGATCAGTGTGAAAACTTTGTGAAACCTGGCTTCTGATTTCAAAAGGAAGACATAGACAGCATGCATAAGTTAAAATGCATGTAAAGACTCTAATAAAGAGAAAGAAGTAGAGGAGTGGTCTGTAGTACCTACCCTCTTTTCATGATTTGGAATGATGCAGCGAACAAAATTGGGATTAGTGTTTCGGAGCGTTGCCATCAGCTTGGTGAGAGATTCTTTGTACAGCTGGCCAACAGTACGAAACATGCCCTTCTTGGTCTTGTACGCAGAGCCAAAAGCTGTCTCTGTTATTCCAGTGACCTGATCCAGACCCACAATACGATCCACTGGGAAGGACAAGAGAAAATAATTAAGTGGATTTTAATATTTGTTAGGTATAAAGATGGGCAGAAAGAGGAGCAATAGTGCAGCAGCAGAAGCTTTGCGGAACAAATGACAGAAGATGCCATCAGTAGGCAAGGCAGTCAGCAAATACTAGGGATGCTGTGCAGAAGCAGTGGAACCAAAAGCCACAAACTTATACAGCAGAATAGTGTAGCTTTAGTAGGTACAGACTAAAATATCCAGCTCTTTACTTGCAGTTCTACATGACCAGTAAAGCCATTTTCTTTAAGTCAACTTTCAAGAGAGAGAAAGCTGCCTGGAAATTGGCAATTATTTGAATTCTTACAATGCAAAATATTTCTGGGTTGAACATTTGGAATTAGACATCTGTGCATATTTGCTTAAAATGAAGAGTCACTTATGGTAATTATATAGATTAAATCTGAGTTTTGTTGAGTATTCAAAAGTGTTTTGAAAGCATAACTATTTACAGAAGAGTTGGAAATAGTGTTATTTCTGTGACAAGGGGGGGGGGGGGTATCTGCCAGACTTCTGCTAGTCTGCTGTTTTGAAGAATTCTTCCAAGTTTTATATACAACTGCAAAGAACTCCCTAGCCAAAAGACAAGTTTCAAAACAGGAAAACTGCACACCAAAGCACTTCAAAGCTGCCATAAAGCATCAGAATAGAGAAAATTTTTTTTTTTTTGATTTTTTTTGAACAATTTGGGTAAGGATCTCTATGGTTTCTTCAGAAGCACAAATTAGAAATCTGACTGCCATCATTAAAACCTTTAGGCCAAAAACATGAACATGATTCCATGTGCACATCAACAATTACTTAAACAGCTCACAAAAAAGTTACACAGGTGGCTTAACACCTTAATAATTATAGTCAGCACTTCGTAGTGCTGAGCAAATACACAACATATATTGGTTCTCCATGAAATCCAAGCTGGCCAGCCAGAAAGAAGCAACTGTATGTAGGCTACAACTTAAATTTGGTGAAGTTGTCTTCAAATTCATTCAAACCAAAGCAGAGGGAATTATGCTGTGCTACCAGAATTAGTTTTGTATATGACAAATAAGTGATGGTATTTTATTCCATACTCATACTCAACTGGTTTTCAAAGGTCTATAAGAAAAAGGAAAATTAAAAGCAGAAAAATACAGGGCAACAAGTTTGAATAATCACTTGTAAGTCTGGCATGTAGCATAGAGCAGAGCCCAGATTCTCTACACATTTCTGAACACAAAAATCTAGGCAGCTTATTAAAGTTATAAGAATAAGTATGTGGTAAGTTCACAAGATCATATCCCAAATATTTACTTTGAAGCAGAATTCAGTTCTAAACCAGAAATGGGATAGAGATTACTGGGGATCAGTCTTACAGAGGATGAACATAACAGCTTGTAAGTATTAGAAACATGCACCCACCAGACAGCACTAACGACTGGACACCATTCAGCTTTTGTTTGGCCACGTATTTTTTAAAATTTTGTAAATATATCTGATAAATGTGCATCTTTTGTTTTGCTCCCCTCTGTCCTCGAACTTTAAAATGATTATTCATATTTCAAAGAGGATTATTAAAGTTAAATTTCCCCTATAAGTTAAGAGCAGCCATTGAACAGCATAGCATGACTGGACAACCATCCATTGGCTAAAGCCTCTGAACTGAAGCCCTCTAGCAATTACTTTAGGAAACACCACTAGCTTCCTCAACTATGTAATGCATCATGAGTATTGGAAGATAAACCCCAAGTAAAGATTGCCAGTCTGAAGGCACAACCTTCACATACACGTATTTCTAAACTTGGGGAGAGGAATACAAGAAGGATGGGGAAGAGGTTGGATAAAATATCTAAAGCGTCTTCAAAGACATTCCAAATAAGTGGATTTGTTGATTTCTCGATACCTCAGAAAACATGTGCAGCTTCTACAAAGGGAAATACTAAAATTAAGAGGTTTTTAAATAAAATAACAATTCCAACAAGTCTGGAAGAAGTTTATTTCACTTACTACCCACACTACAACTGCAGCACTCATTCTGATACTTCAATACATTCTTCAGCTCTCCTCACAAAAAATACATCCACGTTCTAACATGTTCCAGAGTTTTGTCAATGTTGGACTGCAGAAAGAAGCTTGATAGTGTTACAAAGCTTATGCATCCTCTCAAATGCTTGGAGCTACCAGAATTATCACTTAAGAAGCAATTCTGCATCTCAACATGGAACTAGGAAGCAACAAACCTTTTTATCTGCAATGCTTAAATGCAATGCATAAAATATAGATGCTATATGTATGCAGCAGCAACTGAATAGGTATGCACTCAGAGACCATTTGCCTTGTGGAGGTATACCTAAGTTTAGCATGAAATGAAGAGTTCATGCAAGCCTACGAGCAAAAATGGTTTTCCTGTAGATACAACAGCCCTGCCTTCAGTAGGTCTACTGTTTTTATATCCATTCACCTGGTGGATCATGAAGACCAGTAATATTGTCATAGAAACAGGCTCTCTGAATATTCTGAATCTCTAAGGCAGAGAAACAGCAAAAACAAAGACAGAAGAGCAGATACACAAGACACTTCAGTTAGTATACAGAACAGGTTTATCAATTGCAAACAGATTAACTGTGCTCAAAAGCAATTAGGCCACAACATATTACATGCACATTTCAATTATCTGTGGAAGCAGGTTTTGAATATTTGGACCGAAACACTTTTGCTTCTGTGCGTGTACTCAAAAGGAAAGGAGCAGATCCCCAACCAAAAAGTTCTTTATATATTTATTAAAGCTGCTCTCTGTAGCTGAACCAAGTAAGATGGAAACTCATGATTAACCTACAGCATCATCTATACCACAAGCTTAATTCCCTTCTTGAATAAGAAACTACAGGATTTTAATACTGTGACATGTAAATATACTCTAATTAATATACTGTGATGTTAAAGCCTAGAATAGAAAAGTCCCTACTAAGTATTTATTTGGCTATTTCTGCCTCTTGGACTATTTTGGTAAAAGTGTTGATAAATACTTTAAGCTGATGTGCAAGTAAACTAGCTAAACAACAGTGTACAGTTAAAATAAGAATACATTGCATTTGATTTTAATATGCAATATCTAAGTACAGTATGGCTATTAATGAATTTTATTTTAGGAGATGCAGATTTCCAGGATATCACCCACCACTACACATGAAACAACTGTGCTGTTGCTCACATAAGACAACATTGTATTAACAGCAAGAACCACTACAGCTGTTTACATTCAAGACTCCACTGCAGCAAGTCCAACTAAGAGTTTTGGACAAGATTCCACATGAAATTTGACACAGGGTAACAAGTAGTAAGTGAGTATCAGTTCAAATAATGAACATGAGAAGCAGCTACTCAGAAATGGTACATGTGCAAGGGACCATAGGTGCAACCCAACTCCCTTGTTGTATTTTTGGCACTGAACAATACGGAAAATGCTGTAGATATTTACAATATAGAGGTGGAGGGTGAGGAGGGAACAGGCACAAAAAACCCAAACTCATCCAGCAAGGCAAAATTCACTAACAACTTGTGCGCCCAGAGCATGATCTCTTACCATCCTTCCAAAGCTCTGCAACAAATTTGTCAGAAGACTGGTGCAAGAGTGTAGCCACATTGTCATTCAGGGGGTCCATATTTTTCATCAACCACTCATCTGCCTTGTAGTCTACCTGTAGAGCAGCCAAGTTGCACATGATCAGATGGACTACCAGCTTTAGCTTTAAATTTACCAGCATTAAAAAAAAAAAGCTTTCAGAATACTATACTGACATTTTCCTCCTATTCTCTTCTTGATGCTTTCTATGAGTTAGTTGTGCCTCCTTAGAACAGTTCAAAGTACCACAAAAAAGTTATTATTCTTTTGAAAGAGTAAATGGGAGTTTTCTTAAAAATTTAGCAATCTGTCTGTTTGCTTACTAATACCTGGTATACATTTTCAGCCTCATGCTACTGCCAATATAAGGCTTCACTGTTCACTGTGAAGATGTAAAAACAACTCTAGTATAGATCCTAATTACTTTAAATTACTAGAGAGTCAATTAAGGATATGCTGCAGCATGAATTTTTTAAATTTTACTACAGCAGATATACTTAAACACTTTGTTCTATAAAGAAAACAAACAAAGCTCTTATCTTGACAGAACTAATTCTGTGGTTTGCAATTAAGCTGTATCTCAGCACTTGAACACTCAATGCTCACACGGGTTTCATCCCAACCCAAAAGAGTGCCCTAAAATTCCACAAGTCCAACAAAACCTCTGTATAGACTAGCATGTTTTTGCTTCAACCAAACCAAAAGTTTGCTATTTTTAAGTAACGGCTTTGGAAGGAAAGCCACATATAAATGTTTCCAGCATCCAAAACCAAATCAGATCATTATGTTCATACTTCTTGAAGGAAAAGTTATTTTACAAACGATTCCAGTTTTGAAGGAATACACATTCTGATCAAAAATTGAAAAATGCCTTCTGTCAGAGGAAGATACGCAATGCCAGTCAGTATTCCAGAAATGCCGCTCAGTCTGGCAGAAGTAAACCTTTGTTCAGAACAATTACTTCCTAGTAGTCAGGCAGTAAGCTGGTTTACTTCATTTTGATTACCTAAAAGTAACCCACTATTAACTGCTTAACAGTGATGACTTCATTACTTCCATGTTTTAAATATTGATACAATAAAATGTATAATTTCTTTATTTCACTTTTTGCTACAGTTATCTAGTTGGCACCACTGACATCAACAAATAGGTAACAACAAGCCACTAGTGCTTTAAATGAAAATTAAAGGATAGCTCTTAATCATTCGCAAAACCTGTTCCTTCTAAATATCAGGGCAAAAACTGGTACTAGGATGAAGTTTTAACTGTTTATGAAACTAATTACATAGCACGGCCCTATAGAATAGACCTGGTGATCATGAAGGATCCACAAAATACAAGAATTGCAGTTATTTCATGGACCTGTTCACAACGCACTGGAGCTCTGTCCTCCTCAGTGGGAGACTAAAGATTGAACTAACAGTAAAAATAAAAAGGTATCAGCTTACCTATAAAAGGGGATATACAGAAAGTCTTATGTGAACTGAGGAGATACAAGTGAAGATGGTACTGACAACAGCCCTACTTCAAGCACAACTATCAGATTGGAAACATAGATATTCAGAAGAGATACATTTCAATAAAGTCCTGAAAAAAACTCAGCTGTAAGACCTGACAACAAAATTAAAGGAAACTGAAATATATGCTTAATTTAATTTATATTTTTCTGTTCTATTATTTGGTAACAAGAGTTCCATCAGAGCTCTCCTGAATATGTTCAAGAAAATTAAACAAGGCCACCATCCTGCACAAGTATTTCTAAATTTGGTAGCTATACTGCACAGTACTTTCCCAAAACCAACATTGCTAACCAAGTATTTAACATTTAACCTTACCTTCCCAGCATAGTGAATAATGCAGAAGTCTGCTTTGTCCTTTAGTTGTCTTGGCTTTTGGAACTTGGAGTGTGTTCCTTGCTCTTGGACCAATTTTTCCACAAACGTCTTGTCAGTAGCTTTAGGGAACCAGCATTCTTCATCCAGTAATGCTAACACACCAGGAGGATTTGCCTGAAATTTAGTTGGATTTAATCTGTGTTAATATTTAATATATATCTTTTTAAATTTTTTATATTTAAAACACACCATTGAATGCCAAAATAAGAAGTTGTCTAAACTGATTCAGATTTGATTTAAATTGAAACAAGCTGTGGGGGAGTCCAGTCCAATGAAGGACATTGACTGGTTTAAACAAATTCATTCCACTGTATATGGAGCCAGACATAACTGACGTGATCTGGTGCTGACTAGAGCCTTGCTTTGAGCAGAGACTGGAATAGATGACCTCCAGAGTTACCTTCCAAACATTTCTGTGACGTATATGTACACAGCAGCTCATCCGCATTTCCACAGTACTTAATGTCATGCTTTTAATGTCATACTTTAATGTGGGCTAAACTCAAGACAATTATTCCTCCCAGCCACTCGATACTACTGTGGCAGCCACGGAGCTTGCCAAGCCCTGTGTTGATATCCAGTAGCAGCATCCAAAGAGATTCAGCAGCCTTAACTTGAGCAGCCAGCATAATTTTATATACTCTCTCTCTTTCCGTATAATTTAAGCACTCCATTCTTAAAATGAAGTAGGGAACAACCAATGTCTGTATTTTACAGCTGTAGAATTGTTTGACAGGATCATTTTCCTCAGAGAGGACAGACTGATGTACACAGGAAAGCAATGGGGAAAAAAAAGAAAGGTTTATAATGATTTATACTTAAAAAATTTCTAGTGAATATAAAGTTTACACATTTGAAGAGAGATGTTTCTATGTGCATACTACATGGCATCACATTTACAGATCAATTATGAAGGTACTGAAATTTGCTTTTAAAAAAAAAAAATTAATTAAAAAAAAATCAAGTAACTTGATGCATTTTAGGATATTCACCTAAACATCTGCATACTGAAAGCATCCACACTTACCTCCTGAGGCTTTTTGGCAGAAACTTTACCTTCCAAGGAGGCAGAACTTTCTGAAGTTCCATACACAAAGTGCAAACCTTTGATAACTGAAACAAGATTTCCCTTTTCCTACTCTAAGAACATAGCTCATGGGCTTTTCTGTTCTTCAGGATGCATAGCAACACTGCCAGCTTAAGTGTATTCTAAAATACATGCACAGAAGTGTAGAGAGTAGTAACTGCAATGCCCCAGGTTTAATTTAAAAGGTCATAAAATAATTTTGACAGCATAGCTCAGAGGTGTGAAGAACAATAACTTTCAGGAATGATGATCTTTGTTCTCCCCCAACTGGTCCTCCTGCTCTTTGAAGCCCTCTTCAGCTTCCATATATTGAGCACCCAGAAGAATATGTTAAAAAGCACAGTGATTAAAGCCACATTTAAGACACTGTTTTCTTATTTGCAAGGCAGATTTATGGGGAAAACACTACCCTAAAGAAATTTCAGGAATTTTGCTATTGATCTCAAATGAAAAAAGTTTACCATAAGTCCTGAAAAGCTGTCTAACTGAGCCACCACTCTAAAGCTCCTGTAACAATGGCATGGTTTAATATGAAAATGACAGGATTAAAGACTTCATTAGTACTAGGGAAAAAAGTATAGTAGCTTTGTATCTTCAGCTCAGTATTATACCCTAACATCAGGGCAAAATCCCATAAGGATAAATCCTTTTACTAATACATGGTATTTTAGACTTCAGACTTCGGCATTCAAGTTCATTCAGCTTTTGTGACAGCTCCGCAAGAAACGTCTATACAGTCTTACAATTTTCAGGCAGTAAAAGACAAACTCAGAAGTCTAACCTTTTCTCCTTAGAGCGTTATTAATGCACAAACTTACAGGTCTTTCAATTAAGTCAATGCAAGGCTGCAGATCCAGTCCAAAGTCAATGAAATTCCACTCTATACCCTCTCGTTGGTACTCCTCTTGCTCCAGGATAAACATTGTGTGGTTAAATAACTGCTGAAGCTTCTCATTGGTGTAGTTAATGCAGAGTTGCTCAAAGGAGTTCAACTACAAGAATAACATTAGTAAGCAAGAATAATTCAGTGACAGGATTTATCACATATCTGGAAGTCAAAAATTTGACCTTATAAGGAAATTCTCCAAAACTCTGCAATATTCAAATATAATTGAAACAAAATCAGAAAATGCATTATTCAAATCTCTAATGTTCCCCATTACTTATAGTTAAACTAACATATAGTAGGAAAAACCATCACGCACAAAAACTATTTAGACTAAAGCATGACTTTTTTGACACTGTAATTTAGGGTTGTCAAAGCATTTGCACACTACAAAAAAAAAAAAACCAACACAACCCTCCTGCAGCCTTGGAATGTACATGCATTAAGTGGCTCTACAGTTAGTCCAGAACGCACATTAGCAGGGAAAAGAAACATCTGATTAGCAGTGGTTTGAAGTACCTCGAAGATTTCAAATCCAGCAATATCCAGAATTCCAATAAAAGATGCTCCTTGTCGTTTGGTCCTGTCCAAAGCTTTATTAATGCGGTGAACAAGCCAGCGGAAGAGGCGTTCATAGGTGGCCTTTGCCAAAGCTTCCACTGCAAAATCTGCCTGAAAATTCAAACAGGAAAAATTATTTACCCTGGAGAAGACATCAAAAGAATACAGGCACGGATGTTATCACAAATAACTAAGTAACAGAAGAAGTTTAATGGAGTTAATACCACTGAGGAATGAAAACAAGCAGTAGAAACAGTATGTAGTTTGATTGATGTTTTTTAAAAAAAATTTTTTTTAAACTGTTCCATACAAAAACAAAAGCTCTCTGCATGTTTGATACACACAACAACATTAAAGAATGAAACCAGCAGAAGGTTAAGGAAAGGGAAAAGTTTCTTCTATTCTACCATTGATTTTTACCATATAAGAACATTTAATAAAGCTTAAATAAAGTCAGTGGCAGTACACATTTAATCCCAATTTTCTTTATTAAGAGTTAATCAGGATGAGGTACAGTTTTTCACTTCATCTTTAAAGCACCAAAACTTACTTGTTCTTTGGTCTGGGCTTTCTGAACGTAGTCTCTGCCAACTTTGATGCGCGGTGTCAGTATGGCCCGGGTGAACTCCATTACGTTCATTCCCAGTAGATGGCAGAGTTTCTGTGCGACTGGAGATCAAAGTCATAAATGGCAGCACTTAAATCCTCCACCCTCCACAGCAGCTAGCAACATCAGTGAAACAAGCTACTGACAAAGGCTGTTACGTGCCAGCTTAAGAATTGAACGGCCATTCGAAATAGCTTAGGGAGATGCACTCCTGTCCTGTGAACAGATCTACCCTATCACACAGCCCGCATCTGCAAGGGCCTCCACCTCAAAGGCTGACGAAAGCCTCTACAGAAGTACACCACTGAATTTCCTCAGCGGAATGCAAAAAAACACTAGACCTCATGAAACTGCAGGGAAGTCATGTAACAGTCCATAGCCCACACACAAGCATTCCTTCTGTTACTTTAAAAGGGAACACTCATTTTCTCATCTCCAAAAAAAAAGCACAGTATGAGGATATCACACATCAACTCCATCATACTAAAGGTTGCTTAAAAACTGTTCCAATTTAGGCAGGTATGCTAGTGTAATGCTTCTATTACAGACTATATCAAAATACGTTGTTTAAATTTTAAAAATGGGTTTGTAATATTTTATATATAAAAATAACACAGAGCAGCGCACTTTTCTTTAAACACCATGAACTCTCCTAGTGTCATGTTCATTATTTGAAATAATGCATTACTCACACCATTTTTACCTATTCTTTTTCTAAATAAACTTTCCAGTAGGTTAGGTGTTTATGATTCCATACTTCTAAAAATGAAAGTGACACTAAAGGTATTTTTAGGTCCGGGTAAGTGTTGCCCTTTAGCAGGAAGCTGTCCACACTATCCAGTATGTACTTTAACACCCTATCTTCGTAATCTGACAGCTTGCTGTTTTACTGTCAAAGTGAAAAAAGCTATTTTTACAAATCAGAATTAGAAAATAGATTTTAATACCAATATATAACAGCTTCCTTTGCCTCCCCCCCCCCCCCCCACCCTCCCCACCAAAAAAACACCCTTTCTCCACTTCTGATCTTTTC